CCTGGAGCTACTATCTAGGACCCCTGCAGAGTCAGGTATTAGTCTGGAAGGAAAGCACTTCCTTTAAAAAAGTTATCAGCCTATTCATAAATAGAAATCGGATTTTCATTGCAATGGATGAAATAAACAAAAAACCAGGCCTTTCATTCCCAGAAAACACACGCATTGCTTTCCACTCTAACCCCAGATCAAGCAAGTGGAGACTTTAGATGAAAACATCCTCAGAGAAGATCAAACTAAACCTTCAAACAGAGACATGATTTTCCTTGGATATTTTTCACTGATATACCTAGTAAGGCTGCCTCTGTGTTGTCCTAAGGGGCCCAGAAGCATCAGCTGATAATTTCAGGAAAGGATTAGGGCTTCCTTTGCTTTTGGTGGCCCTTGTGAACTATCAGGAAGTGTGGCTGAAAACATGCTACCAGATGGATCTGCCACAGCTGTGTGTCTGACTCATTCATTAGGAGCAGAGGGAACCTTCACAGCCATCTGGAGAAGCTAAATGATCCTTTCACACTGTGCTGGACAGAGGGTTGAGGGGGCCAGAGGTAGAGGGAGGGAGAGGGTAGGAATCAAGCCAGCATAAGGAATAGGTGAGCTAGTCTTGGGACGAGCTAACCCGAGCTCCTGTTGCAAGTAGGATGGGATGTTTCAATCAGAATTACATGGATTTTAGCAGCTGGAATTGGTCTCCCAGGTGTGTAGATAAACCACTGTCACTGAAGAGTCAACAGAGATACCAGCCCTGTCTACTCAGTGAGTGACCCAGGGGACACCCCTTTGAAGGTTTGTGACTAGTAAAAATGGGGCATATCTACGCAAGAGCTCTGTGATAATCACAGCAGTGGAAAGGACTTATCACGGCCACACAGTGTTCTCTGCTGTTGTTAATGCACTGCCGTTTGTTGGTGACTTGGCATCTTACTGCCTCAGTCCCACGCAGCAAAACAGACCACAAAGTGATTGTCACTGGCATTGACAAAACCACTGCTGCTGGACTCTGATAGGTTCAATAACAAAGCCAGCTGCTGATTGACAGATTGACCCTGGCAGATATGGAATAATATTTTTTAATTCACAGTGCCAAAACATCATTTGGGTATAGGCATTTTCATATTTGAAAAGATTTTCATTATAAAGGGTTTTTGACCCTGGTCTGTATGCAAGGCCTCGAATGAGCTCTGTGACACACTCAGACTCCAAGGGGAGGGGTACCCACCTAATGAAAGGGATCCCAATTTTGCCATGGCCACTGTGTTAGTCATCTTTCTGTCACTATAACAAATATTCCAGTGTATCACTTTATGAGAAGAAAAGGTTTAGTTTGGCTCACAGTTTTGGAGGTACCAGTTCATGATTGGTTGGTCCTACTGCTTTGGACCTGTAGTGGTAGCCCATCATGATAGGGTGAATGGCAGAACAAAAATGCTCCCTTGTGAACAGGACACCAAGGAGAGAAAAGGAAGACATGGGGATTACATGAATTGCTTTAAAGGCGAGCCTCCGATGACTAAGACCCCCTGCTAAATCTTAGCTCTCAAAGATATTGCTTAAAATTGCCTGGGGCAGAGGATTGATGGGCATCAAAGACCCAATAGCACCAGGCTGGGGACAAATCCTTTACCACATGGACTTTTGGGGGACACTTAAGTTTCAACCTGAAGTTACTACAAACACAAATAGGGTGCTTAGTGTGTGCTGGATAGGATATGGAATTCTTGACATGAATTATATTCCAGAACTTCATATGCTATATACTACCTTTTTTTTTTTTTTTTTTTTTTTTTTTTTTTTTTCATTGAACCTGAAGTTTTTTAGACAAGGCTGCCCTAGAGCTCGCTATATAACCCAGGCTGCCTTGAACTCAGAGAATACTCCAGATCTCAGACTCCCAAGTGCTGGGATTACAGATGTGAGCCACTATACCTGGCTATCATACAATTTTACAGGGGAAGAGACTAAGGTTCAGGGCAAATTCTCACAGTCAGCCATAGTAGTAGACTTGATGTACACACTGGATCTAGAGCCTGGGTAAGCCTGAACTGAAAACCTGCCACAGTCAAGTAGCAGAGAATTATAAAGCATTGTGTTGCGTTTTTGACTTTTTTTTCATGGTAAAAAAAACAGAGTTTGACTCCATACAACTTCAGAAATTTGCCGATTTGCAAAGCTGGCACTACAAATCAGGAGAAACGGCTCAGTCCTACCGAGCGTTCTGGCCTATTGCCAGGTGGTACTTGTTAGTTTGCTGTCTGCTAGGGGACAGTGTATAACTGCCACAGGTCTTCTGTGACCAACCAGCTCTATTACTAGCCTGGTTCTGTTGTACTGATGGAGAGACTGTGTCTTGCCAAGTTTGAAATAAATACACTCAGCCCTTGTGGATGTGAGCCTGATTGCTCTTGGCAGTTTTGACTTCCTGCTTTCAAGATAAAAGACCTACAGAAATTTATTAGAAAATTTCAGAAGGCTTTGGTGAAGCTATCACACACAGTTTAGAGAAAACATTTTAAATAACTTAATAGCAAATGAATTTGAACCACATGGAAGGTTTTCCTGATGTGAGTCAACTTAAGGGAGGCTCCTCAGATGATCTAGGGAAGATGTATGGTGGTATGTAGAATTTAAAATGTTAAAGCAGTTTTTAAAATGCTTGAAAATAAGAGCCTGGAAGGAGAGGTGACTGTGTTAAGGGGTGGCTCCTTACTTCACTTTGAGAGTTTTACCCAGACAGTATGTTCTGTTGTCAAGGGAACAGCCTATAGCCAGAGTCCTCTTCTCCATGGGCTGCCTGCTGGGTAGACCGTCGTTCACTCTGTTTAATGACAGCTGGACAGGGCAGTGTGTGCCCATTCTGCAGGAAACCTGTCCAGCCCCAAATTCCTGTTTCACATTTATGAGCAGAAAGGGCTGGGTAGTTACTGAAAGAGTGTCTGGAAGGGGGGAGTTCCAATGGAAGGGTTGCCTTTGGGATCAGAATAAGTGTATTCACATCCCTATTTGACACTGAACTGCCCAATGATTGCAGTCAGCTCCTTCACCCTTGGAGCCTTGGGTTTCTCATGGAGATGAGAATGCCTTTCCTGTTTACCCCGAGGCTACTATGTGGACAAGCAGGATGGAGAAGGGAGAGGCTACTGCCAACTTTAGAGTTCTAGCTAATGGTCAGGTGTTGGTTACCAGAAGTAGCTTGGCCCCGCTCCTCTCAGCTGTTCTGTGGACTTGGCCTCAGTGTGGAGTGGGTTAGACACAGTTGGTGACTGCTGTTGAGGAGCTGTGCAGTACTTTGGAAGAGCTGTTGTCCCCGCTGTTGGACTGTGTGGCTAATGCTTGGTGGGCCTAATGTTTGACGGGACTAATGTGCATCAGAGCAGGGCTCTGGGATGGGCATCTCAGCCAACAAACCTGTGCCATCTGTGATCAAGCTTCTTGTCCTGAGAACATCACTCTTTCCTCTTCAATGATCACTTTAGGTAATTCCAAGGGAGTATTTTGCTAAGGAGTGCCAGGGTGGCTATCCTGAACAGAGAGAGACCTGCAGCTGTCCTCAAGGACAGAATGGTTCTGGGGACACCGGGTCCCCTCCCAGTTGCTTGACTGGAGAGGACACAGGGATGGAGAAGTGCAGATGGAGAATGCCATTCGACGCGGTGGTGCCTGCTCTCCTGGACTCAGAGGGGAGCCGTGTGCATTGTGTTTTCCTGGTTATTCTGTTGGAGTAAAACAACTGAGAATGTTGTATATTAGGGAAAATACTTGCTGCAGCTTATATGATGTTTTCAGTATCCTTTAATTTTTAAAATATTGTTTGGTCTTTATAAGGCAGGGTCTCCCTGTAGCCCCAGCTGGCCTGGATCTCGCTATGTAGACCAGGCTGGCCTTGAACTCACAGAGATCTACCTGCCTCTGCCTCCTGAGCTGAGATTAAAGGCGTGTGCCAGCACATCTGGCTTAAGAAAGGAGTATCCAGTTACTAATCAGGCAACCCCAGCTGACCCACAAAAGAATGGTCCTTTGCTTAGATCATGACATTGGAACTGGGTCTGACATTTCAGAGTAACCATCTGCAATGGATATTATCACATGTTGGTAAAGCTCACACTAACTCATGGCATTAGCTTTTAGGTCTTAGTTACCTGAGCTTGGAGTTTTCTAGAATAATAAATTAAAAAATTAGTCAGAATTGGGACTGGTGTTAATATAGATGGTAAAAGAAAAATACTCAAAAGTAAAGAGAGATGTTTCTTTGCTTAGCAGCATCCTCAAATGAGAGCCAGAATGTGGCTCACTGTTAGAAATCCACAGCAAGGTCACCACATGATCCATAAACACTTGCTTTTACTGGATACGTATAAACTTTCAACCTATGTGGTGTCCTCCAGGACACACTGCTTTGAGAATGTTACTGACAAGAACATTTCAAGTCAGTTTAGATCTTTGGAAACTGGTTAATTTATCTGTAACAAAGTGACTGGCCACATGGCCAGTGTCTGGTAGGCGTAAGACTTCATGGGAAGGAGAAACAGAGGTTCCAAGCTAAAATCAGTGTGTAGCTCATTAAAGGAAGAAAAGCCATCTTCTCAACGTTACAGTGAAAATGCGTTCTGGAGGTCAGCTATGAATAGTACCTAATGATCCTGCTGTGTTTTCACATTTACCTGTAGCTCTCACCAGATAATATATAGTCTGGCTTAAAAAGGGGGATAAAAGGCAATAGACGCAAAAGGACACTGCAAAGCTGCCGGGGTCTGTGGCTGGCAGCCCGCCACATGATATGCTTTCATTTTAAGTTTTGGATGTTTCTAGGTATGCAACTCGGTAGAACATGTGGAGCTCATGGACATATGACCTTATCAGAAATGGGTACCAAAATACGTGTTTTAAGCCCAGCAGAGTCTAAACTAATTGCAGAGGCTCAGTGTGCACAGAGACCTCATGTACACGCTGTAAATGCCAAATGGTGTATTGTTTAATGATTTCTCTGTTCTGTCCCTTTTAAGAAAAGGAAGTGCCCAACAGGCCCTTGCGTATGCGCATCCGGTCCTCAGATGACAGGCTGTCGGTTGCCTGGAAGGCGCCACGCCTGTCTGGAGCCAAGAGTCCGCGCAGATCTCGGGGTTTTCTTCTGGGCTATGGAGAGAGTGGCCGGAAGATGAACTATGTCCCGCTGACCAGAGATGAGAGGACACATGAAATTAAAAAGCTTGGTGAGTTTTATATCATCTGGTATGCCTTGCTTTGATCCTTTCAATGTTAGGAGCTTGCTGAGGATGGAATGCTCTCTTAGTTGTGACATTCACCTCTCAACCTTGATAATTATTCAAAAGTCTTCAAAATTAGCGTACTAGCTACTTTTCTTGTTGCTGTTACAAAACATCCAACAAAAACAACTTTGGGAAGGAAGGGTTTATTTTTGCTCACAGTTTGAGGGGTTCAGTCTGTCATGGAGGGGAAGGCAGGTGGCTCTAAGGTGGCTGGCCAGAGTGAGTGCACAGCTGGGACTCCCTGAATCTTGGCAGATTAGGAAGCAGAGTGGACAGGAAGTTGGGCTGGGCAATCCTGAAGGCTTGCCTCCAGTGGCCACTTCCCCCAGCAAGCCCCTCTTCGTAAACATTTCACTTCCTCCCAAATCAGCACCACCAGCTAGAGTTTGAGTGTTGAAACACACAAGCCTGTGTTCCATTTCACACTCAAACCACAACAGCTCCCGTTTGATCCTGTCTTGGTCTCCATCATTTTAACCTTTATTCAGTGACAGGACCAGACTGTCTTGTAAGTTTTTTCTGGATCCCATGCATACCACAGATGTCTTGTGCCAGGGCATTTTTCTAGATGTGAGGTGTTGTGGGGAGAGAAAATATTTGCCCTTTCTTTCTGGGCGAAGGAAGCATTGCCTACGGAATGCTACAGGAGTGTTTGCTGAGACCAGGAAATGCTGTGTATGTGGTCCATCCTGATCTGTGTCTTGACCTTTATAGACAGGCTGCTGATAGACACAGGCTGTGTTCTGAGAAGATGCTGCTTACCCCTGAGACTGCTGCTTCTGTGCTTGGAGGCAATGCTGATGGCCATGTCACTTCTGCCCTTGCCTCCAACCCCTTATTGACCTGGTGAATTGGAAGCACAGCTGGGCCCTTCTATATCTCCTCCTGGGGGAAGCCAGACTGTAGAGACTCAGGGGTCCAGGGTGGTCCTGGCAGCACATCTGTCTTCTGCTGGCACTCAAGTTAGAATGTCACTTGCTGCATGGCCTCCAATTTGCTCTTTTATTGGTAACACATATTTTAGCCCCCATGGCTGACTCATCTATATTTTCTCATGGGTCAATACTCAGGCAAGGGAGAGGCTGCGGTTTCTTGTATACCTGATAGTTTTGGTAATGGCATGGAGGCTGGTGGTGGAGCCCCTCTACCACTCAGGGCAGTGGAGGCTGGAGGTGGGAAAGAGCAAAAAGGGCAGCCACTGGCCTGTGGGATGTGAGGCTGTAACATGGAGATAGAAGCGTGGTACCTGTTGCTCGGCATGTCCTCTGTCATAAAAGGTATACTCTTCTCCAGGACAGATGGTAGGAAGTAGGGCTGGAGATAGGAGATAGGAAGGGAGAGACTGCCAGTGAGCATCACAGCCACCAGCATGATGCACAGTAATTTGGCTCAGGGAACACCACTGTGCAAGAATGGCTTCACTGGAGACAGAGCTCCAGCTGTGGTAAGAAGGCCTGGTGGCCCACTCTGAACACCAGTCTCCTTGGCTACGGGCAGAAGCACATGCATTCTGGAGCCCAGGCAAACAGTTCTGCAGCCTTCAGAACTCCTAAGCCCAGATTCCTGGACTCCCTGGACTTCACTGCAGGAGCTGAGAAACCTGTGTTTGCACTGGCAAAGGCCCTGAGTGGACAGTTATATCCCTACCTCCGAAGCAGCCCAGAAGGCCCCGTTCTATTGGCTGCTGTGATGAGCCACCTGCTGGACACTCTCTTGAAACACCAAGGCTCTGGGTTGGTTGGGTATTCCCAGTGTGGGTCAGCTGTGTGGCATTCTTTGTAGCTACGTGTTCCCCATATGGCGGCACTGGCCCTGCTGAGCCAGGCAAAGCCTCTGAGCCATCTCTTCAGACTTGCTCCAGGAAAGGGACCACCCCTCTGCTTCCAGGCCCTGTGAAATGTTGAGGGATTCAAGGAAACAACAGAAGAAGCCAGGATGGCTGTGCTTTGTAAAGAGCAGCTTGGGTATCATCAAGACCTAGAATCAGAGACTCAGTAGTGTGAAACCACAGAACAATCTGGAAACACTTCAGTCCTTCATTCTTGAGCTGTCCCTTTGCCGCTGACTGGTTTCACTACACATGTTGTTTGACTCTGTTTTGATGGTAGGGGCCAAATTCTTCCCAGAAACTCATCCGAAGAGTAGAGACAGGCTTCCCATGTTTGGTACTGGTGGGTGGTGGGGGGAATATTGTTCAAATGGAAACTCTCATTTTTTTAAGTCTCATGTATTAAATGTCGCTTAGCATCAATGTGGGTGTTTTGTGTGTGACTGTGACCAGGCCTCCCAGTTTTTCATTTCTTCAGCGCTGGACCTCTGATTCACATGAACTCTGGTTCCCTGAACTCCAGCAAATGTTGAGCCTGAGGTTAGAGTGTGCTCTAGGCCAGGCCTGAATGGACAGGGCATGCCCATCGGGCCTTTGCTACAGTGAATGTTGTCTTTTGAATTTTCATCTCATCCAAGTCACTGGACTTGCCATTAAGGGGTCTTGTGAAGAGAAGGTCTAAACAGAAGCTTCCTCCATGATGAGGTGGGATGGGGTAGAGAGGAGGTAAACTTTCTGTTATGTCCTAGAAAGTTTGTCTTTACAGTTTATCCTGCATAGGATTTGTGCTGTCAACTTAACCACCTAGAATCACCTGGGGAGAGTCTTCATGAGGAATTGTCTAGATCAGGTTGGCCTGTGGGCATGTCTTCAGGGGATAGTCTTGATTGTTAATCTGCATAGGAAGACCCAGCCCATTGTGGGTGACACCATTCTCTAGGCAGGCCCTGAACTGTGTAAGAGAGGAGAAGCTGACTGAGGGCAGGCAAGGAAGGCTATGTGTAGTCTTTCTTGGTTCTTCACTGTGGGTGTGATATGGCTAACTGCTTGTGTTTCTGCCTTGACTTCCCTGAAAGGATGGCTCCTAACCTGGATTTAAAAGTCAAATTAACCCTTTCTTCCCTTATGTTGTTTTTTTTTTCGGAGTATTTGTCATAGCAACTGAAATGAAACCAAAACAGGACTTCAACCCTGTTTACCACAGAGATACTACTGGCCACGTGGTAGACAGAAAGGAGACTCACGTTGAGGAACCTTGCGGGGAGTTGGCCTGAGGGTCCGTTGGCAGCGCTGCCTGCTGCTAGCCAGTCATTAACTACATCTTACTGATGGTCTTCTGTGTCAGTCAGTCCCTGGGAGAGGCAGCAGTGTTGAAGTGATGGTCGAAGGAGGCCCCCTCAGAAGGGGTTGGAGTAAACCCTGTAGGTGGTGAGGCCTTGGGGCTATGGAAAGGAGAGGAGATGGTAAGACCAGGTCAGGTGGGAGTGGAAGACAATACAGGACAAGTGAGTCCAGGGACTTTCAGGAAGATGCAGAAAGGAGAAACTAGGCAAGTAAAACATGGTATTGGTATTCTGCTGTCATACTCTTGAGGCTGGGGAGTGAGCCAGTGCTTGTTCTGATGGGGGAAGTGGTACCCTGGGGTCAAAGAGTGGTGATGTTGGAGCATCAGTTTGGAGACTGTACTCCCATTCCCAGTATGGAATAATCAGGGCACAGAAAGAAGCACATGTGTTCTGCTGAATTCTTTTTGTTTTATCTCTGCAATGGCTGCATGTGGTCTGCTCTTCCTCAGCTGTAGTTATTAAGAACCTGGGTCATGGAGACCTGGTTGTGAGACCAACTCACTCTACGACCATGGCAGTCAGCTCACTCCTCTGAGCTTGGACCCTTACCTGTGAAACAGAGACCATGACAAGGCCTCCCTTACAGGGTTTAGTGAGGGATAAATGAAGAGTGAGATGCTTAGCACAGTAGGGCAGGGTTGGGGAAGGGAGGGCAGGCCTTTAGGGCAAGTGTGCTCCTGAGCAATTAGGACGCAGTCCCACATCCTGCTCTTTGGTCCACAGCTTCAGAGTCCGTGTATGTGGTCTCCTTGCAATCCATGAACTCCCAGGGGCGGAGTCAGCCCGTCTATAGGGCTGCCCTCACGAAACGCAAGATTTCAGGTATGTTTCCAAGGATGCAATTGGTGAAACAGTGTTGAACACTATTCTCCACATGATAGTAGCTGTGACGGGATATGTGAACGTCTTGGGAGATGAAGGAAGACTAGAGGCAGAGCTGGTCATTTTTTGGGTGCAAACATGTTTCATTCATATGTAGAAGCTGGAGTGTTCTTGTGATGAAAACTATTTCACTGAGAATTCAGAATGGCTTCATGTGTGGTAGCTTTGCAATGCTAGAGGGAACGAGGCATAATCCATAAAAAGGTACAGTCTGACTCATCTGTAAATTGCTCCTAGTGAGACACTGAACAGAGCAGAACAAAGAGCAGTAGGTGTGGAAGGGTGGCACACAGACTGCATGTGCTGTCACAGGCACGTGCACAGAGACACACAGACACGTGTCATTTCAGCTAACTGTATAGATTGGCACTGAGAGGAATATGAAGATGCATAATTGTAGCTCACTAATAGCTCAATTATTATGCACTTAATGAAGTATATTTTTTCTCAGGTCCATTTATGGATATTTAAAATGTCACTCATAAATTACACATACACACACACACACACACACACACACACTATGATATAGATGTATTCCCCCACATACATCCCCAGGCCATGAGCCTCAGTAAGGCGTTGTTCTAGTTTCTTCCATGGAAGAACGTTCCTTACTGGCTCATGCAAAGCTAGCTTTCTTATATAGCTCAGGCCCACCTGCCTAGGGATGATGTCATCCACAGTGGACCAGACCCTCCCACATCAATCATCAATCAAAACAGTCTCTTACAGACATAGCCACAGGCCCATTTGATTTGGTCAGTTCTTCAACTGAGGCTCCCTCTTCCCAGGTGACCCTAAGTTGTGTCAAGTTGACAATAAAAACTGACCAGCATAGGAGGCAGCCCCCAGTTCATGAATCCATGATGTAGAGTAAAAATCATTGTGCTTTTTCACATTGTATAGAAAAGTTACTTCCTTTTTAATTGTCGATTGATTGCTATCATAAAAAATGGACTTTTTTTGGTCTTTTTGAGACAGGGTCTCCCTGTAGCTGGCCTGGAACTCACTATGTAGACCAGGCTGGCCTTGATCTCAGAGATCTACCTGCCTCTGCTTCCTGAGTACTGGGACTAAAGGCATGTGCCACCACGTCTAGCTAGAAAATGGATTTTCTAACAGTCTATTTCCAACTTTCCCTACTTAGGTAAAGTCTGTCTTTTTGAAAGATGACCCGTGAAAAGTAAAATAAAACAAAACAAAAATAAAATCAAATCAAAGCAAAACAAAACCATAAGAGACTTTAAAAAAAGCAAAGTTGAAGACACCTTGTGTCTTACTTGATGGAACTTTGTGACTGTATTTTTTGATGACAAGGATAAATCTCCATAAGACATTGGCAAACTGAACTCTATTTTATATCTGAATATAAAATTTAATCTGCCTTGCAACTACATATTCTAAAATGCCAGGACCCTGAATCCCATGAGATTCTTAAGAGTTGTTTGAATTAGAAGTTTTACTTCATCTCAAGATCACTGAGGAATTACAAATCGAGTTTTTCTCTCCTCAAATGTTTGCTTTCATAAAAGTTTTATTTTTTCTCAGAACGTATAACATGTAATGAGCAAACACTGAGTTTCTTGCAGTCTCTCCCACAAAAGTGCAGCATCCTCTTTACAGTCTACACGCTGATTGGCTCAGGCAACTTTTAAAGTAAATTGTTCATTTCTTAGACTGTGCTTAAGATAAGCAAGAGTGGTTTTTTTTTCTATACAGACCAGATAACTGCTTAGCTTTCTGATCACCTCATTTGACCTACATTAAGCATAAGCAACTGAAAGTTATGCAGGGTGAGGCCTGTGGTAAGAGGAGGCCTCCTGTGCACTTACTGTCATTTCAGAAGAGGCTGAGCTGGATATACCTGAAGACATCACTGTCCGGGTTATATCGTCGCAATCTGTGCTCGTAGCCTGGGTAGATCCTGTTGTGGAAAAACAGAAGAAAGTTACTGCGTCAAGGTGCGTATGCTCATTTCTCATCTTTATGTATGATAAATACGGCTTTTCTGGCCCTGAAATCGTGTAAATATGTATTTAGTGCTTTTAGTTAATTATATGGGTGTTGGCCCCTCTCTTGATGCTGAATATTCTATAGCAGTCTAGTTCCCACAAATCACACACTACCAGGGCCTGGATGTAAGTCACAGAGCAGGACTTCGCATCTCGCTTGGCTTTACTGTGTGTGTAAATTTCCTGCATTCCGTGTCTCCCTTGGCATCATTTATGTGTGGCCTCCTCTCACTGACATTCTGCTAATGGGCAGTGTCACTCTGGGAGGAGTCTTGCTGGAGTCAAGGCGGGATGGATTTTTATGTAGAGTGTTGGTTATCTGTCTAATGTTTCACACTTGGTGGCTCCTCAGTAGACATTCGTTGAACTCTGAACTGTGTCATGTCCTGCTTGGCTATGCATAACAAAAAGCATCTTCTTTTCTCTTAGGCCATGATGTTAGGCTAGTCTGGTTTTCATTTATAGTAGCAGTAGGTGAAAAGCTAACCAGTATGTTAGAATAATCTTCATGTTAAAAAGCCACTGGTGGGGGCTGGAGAGATGGCTCAGCGGCTAAGAGCACTGACTGCTCTTGCAGAGGACCTGGGCTCAATTTCTAGCACCCACATGGCGTCTATGAACGGCCCTTAACTCCAGTTCCAGGGGAATCCGAAGCCCTCTTCTGACCTCCTCAGCATTGCATGACATGGATACACTCACATACATGCAGGCAATACACTCATACACATAAAATAAAAATAATAAATAAAATGTTTTTTGAAAAAAACCACTGGTGAATATAGACATTATGGTTTTGTGTGACCAATGACTGAATAGTTTATATAACGAAAAGGAAGCCAAAGATTCTGTGGCCTGGTTATTTTGTATTAAATTTTGAACCTGTTTGCAACCAGGAAAGGGGAATGCACTTTGAAATACAAGAAGTGTAATGCTCAAATCATAAACATATAGGAACTATTATCCACATTAAACACAGAACTTCCTTGATTGTCTGCTGGTAGAATGGCACGTCTCTTTTGAAAGACCACAGAAGAGTCACTGGCTTGGGAGACATTTGATCTCCCTGCCATGGCGTGCTCCTGGTTGCTCCTGGCTTTGATTTCCAACACCTTGCTGAAAAGCAGGAGAGGTTTGAATGTTCTCAGGAGACCTGCTGTGTTAGCTGCTGTGCCATGCCTTCAACTGAAATCTCTCCTGACTTATTAAATGTAATGAATAGAACTTGTGTGTGTGTGTGTGTGTTTGTATATGTACGATATGCATGCACATACACATGCATGTACATGTGGAGACCTGAGATCAACCTTGGGTACTGTTCCTCAAGTGTTTTATTTATTTATTTATTTATTTATTATTTATTTATTTATTTATTCATTTATTATTTAATTTTGAGACAGGGTTTCTCAATAACATGAAGCTTACCAAGTAGGTTAGGCTGGTAGTCTGGCTGGCTAGCAATCCCCAGGGATCCAGCTGCCTCTGCCTTCCTCCCCACACTGGGATTACAAACATGTACCACCAAGCCCAGCTTTTTTACATGGTTTCTGGGGATCAAACTCAGGTCCTCATGCTTGTACTGCAAGTACTTTATCAATTGAGCCATCTCCCCAGCCTTCTGAAAAGACATTTTTAATGCCCCAAATTCTTTACCACAAAGAACAGTTCTGTTCAGAGGAGTCCGATACAGGACTTGCTGCTCTCAGATCACTGAGAATTCTGCCCTGGGGTTTTTGAGTATTGGTATGTTTGTTATTTCTCTCCCTAAAGATTACACACCTAGGCTCCTTTTGTAAGCCACTCTGTCCTGTTTTATTTGTTACACATTTTATTCCATTTCATAGCAATAAGTCTACTCAAGACCACATATTCCCCGAGCCTTCAGAACCATGTCTGAAATGATTCTTTTTGGCATTTCTCTGAAGAGCCAGGATTCCTGGGGCCAGTTCCAGCTCTCAATGTCATCCCTGTCTGCAGCCTGTGTACACGTACATCCCTGAGAAATTAGTTACGCCATAAGTTCTTCCTCCCCCTTTATCCCTTCCTTTTAACACCTTTGCATGGTCTTTTGACCCTTAGGACATTTTAGGTTTTGGATAGCACTGTGACTCATATTTCCAAGCCTATTTTTTCACACCTTTCCTTGAACCTTTTTTGCCTCAGCTTCTGGCTCAATAACATACTAAATTCAGCTTTTTCTTCTCTGATTTCCCTACTTGCTTCTGAAAGTCCTCACTTATGGGGAAGACCAGGAGTCTGGACCTCAGCTGTAGCTCTGGCCAACTGGATGCATGTTGTGTGTGTTTCCTCACAGACAGTACACTGTGCGCTACCGAGAGAAAGGGGAGTCGGCAAGGTGGGATTACAAGCAAGTGGCTAACAGGCGCGTGTTGGTGGAGAGCCTGATTCCAGACACTGTATATGAATTCGCAGTCCGCATTTCACAGGGTGAAAGAGAAGGCAAATGGAGCCCGTCCGTCTTCCAAAGAACGCCAGAGTCCGGTCTGTGTTTGAAGTGACCTTGGAGTCTCAATGGAGAATTATTCCTAAATTGAGATTTAGAGACAATCTAAGAAGTCAATAGTAATAGGGTCCAGCAAGGCAGTTTTTCAAAAGGCACACTAGCCATTAAAAATAGAAAGAGAGAAAGAGAGAGAGAGAGAGAGAGAGAGAGAGAGAGAGAGAGAGAGAGACGAGGGCAGCTTCCTTGGGGCAATATCTTGTCCTTGGCTGGCTGGCCTTTTTCACCAAAATGTTGTTCTGACATGTCAAATCCATCAAGTTCCAGTGTCTAGTACATATAAGTCACTATTGGAGGTATAGATGTCCCTGGGTGACAAAGCTTTCATTGTTTGAGGTAATCTTCTTGCCTGAGGCTGGGTTATATTTGAGTTTGGGAGAGAATTTTCCCCTGTAGCCAAGGCTCTGACTCAATAACAGCCAAATCTATGTCTTTAAAAGTTGTACTGAAAGGAAGTTGCAACTGGATTTTGAACTTTTTTAGATATTGCAATATTTAGCCGTGAAAGAAATTCTGGATTCTTAGAAGCTTGTTTCTAGATGTGTCTAAACTCACTGGTAGGAGTCGGTACAAGTCACACAAATCACTCCACCCCACAAAGCCAGTGTAGAACTCTCCCTATGCGTCATCAGCCCAAGTACACCATCTCTTCGATAACCACTGTGTACAGGGCCCTGAATTTATTTCCATGCAGGAGCTCGGTGAGAACTTTGTGAAATGTTTGCTTCCTTGTCATCTTATAGCTCCCACCACAGCTCCTGAGAACTTGAACATCTGGCCAGTCAGCGGCAAGCCTACAGTAGTCACTGTATCCTGGGACGCACTGCCGGAAACGGAGGGGAAAGTAAAAGGTAGGAATCACCTCCTTAGCCTCTGAATGGCCTTGATTCTGAGAAACACTGCTCAACTCCACAGTTTTTGTGCCTGACAAAGAACTGGAGAAGCAACAGAGACAAGACACAAACCCCAGCAGGAGAAGGCTCCAGCAGGGTTTGCACTGTGAGAGCTAAGCAGTCACCAAGGTGATTGTTGTTCACCTTCCTGTAGGCAGGCCTTTGGGTAACCATCCTGAAGATGCTGCTAATTGCATGGTGTGATATTATAACCTTTAAATCCTTACATTCATACTAGAGTTTTCCATTGTATCTGTGAGATCCAGAAAGGAGTCAGCAAGGACCCCTGGGAACATAAAGACCTTTAATGAGACCATAAATACTTTTAATGGGGCTGAAAAGCCTCATCATGATTTCCACAGAGTGGATTTATTTCAACCTGTATTGATTTATTTAGGTCTTGGAAAGATAAAAATAAAATTAGAAAAAAGATTACTGGAGTTTTAAAAGATAAAAATAGAATGAGATATTTACAGCTAGTTAAATTAAAAAATAGTCTGCTGGGAATACTAAATAAGCCCACAAATCTTTTCCTTTCAATGTAAAAGCACTTAAAAAAGGGTCAGAGGTCTGGAGATGTTTTAAAGACTCGTATTGGGTGTTTCCTGGCTTTGCCTACACAAATGTAGCCTCGGGATAGGAAAGAATAGAATATTTATTCAAAGAAAGGAATATTTTCATTGTTGTTAGGTTTGGGGAGGCAAACTTGAGTCTGATAGATCCAAAAACTATGAAAAGTTTATGTAAGCTTAAAGAAACATGGAAAACACTACCAATCGCCCTTAGAATTTCTTGGTTGAAAATATTGAATGGTTCTTTTTGTGTGTTTGACTATGTTAACTTTGCTTACATGTAGGCTGTCTTTTCATAGGACGGCAGGGCCTTTGAAAGACAATGGGGAATGACATTTTTTATACTCAGTGTTTTCTTTCCCCTTTTTGAAAAGAAGGGCTTTATTCTTTTTGAAAAGTTTTATTTTTATTTTCAGTGTATGAGTATTTTGCCTGCATGCAATGTAAGTGTACCCATGTATGCAATGCCTACAGAGGTCAGAGAAGGATGTCAGATCCCCTGGAACTGGAGCCGTGGATGGTTGTTAACTGCCATGTGGGTGCTGGGAACCCAGGTCTTCTGCATAAGCAGTGCTCTGAAGAGCACTGAGCCATCTCTCCAGCTCCCTGTTCTTCTTCTTGCTTTTCCCCTTCCACACAGGAATAAGTCAGAAACAAATGAAGAGAATATATATTTAGCTGTCCCCTTCCCTTTAAGGCGTTGTTTTTATGACAGAGTGAACACTAAGTATTGTATTAAGTATTGCGATGCAGAAAAGGCCTCTGAAAATGGAATAAAGGTATCTTTTTTCTTTATTTTTATTAGTTACTTGAAAATTTCATACAACGTATTTTGGTCACAGTCACTCACCCTCCCACAACCCCTCCCAGACCCATCCCCTTCCCTAACCACCCAGCTTTGTGGCTTTTTTTTAGGGGAAGTGGGCACATTGTCCCACCCCTAACTGAGGAGCTGCTGAATAGGTAGCTTCTGGGAGAGGGAGAATCAGTTTTCTTTAAGACTGTGGTTCCTGGTTGGTCCACCGAGCTCCAGTGGATGACCCATACACCCAGGAGTATTTGGGCAGCACAAATTAGACTCATTGGGTTTAAAGACATGTTTTTGGATGACTATATCAATAATGCTAAAAAAATACAATATTGCTCATTTAGTGAATTTTTATCATGTTATGGATTCACATTTTCTCTCCTACATGTTAGTTTATATTTATAGCTATTTGCTGAAAGAAGCTACTGATCACCAGCTAAATATTGCCAGAAATAATGATAGCTACTGAATGTATATTTGAAATAACTTGTGTATCTTAACCCTGCTTAATTTTCATAAGGGTGTAATAAATGGGACTGAAGGTCATAATTAATTGGGGCATTTTCTATTTCTAGGAAGCATAAAATAGGAGGGTATACATTTTGACATGGTTGAATGTTTCCAGATGAATTTAATCCATTAAAATCACAATTGCAAAGTTTTGTAGATAGTCAGTGCTCTCAGTTCCTACTTTTGATTGCCACAAATGACTAGTTTGCTCCTTTTCAATGAGAAAGGAATGCTGTTTTCCCAGACAGATGATGTAAAGGCGTTTCTGGTTGAAAGATTATTTTTTCCCTCTTGTTCTTTTTAAGGCATTAGAACTTAAAGAAAAGGGGACATCCCACATATTCCTGGTAATTACTTGTAATTTTCTGTGATTAAGATTATTTTCTAAAGTTGTTCTCATATCAATTTGTTAAGTTTTCTCAGATCTAAGTTTATTGAGAGGAAAATAGACAAGGTCAGTTTTTAGTTGGGTATTAAAATTGCACTGTAAAATATGACTATATAAATTATAATATTCCCACATAATCAAAGAAATAGTTTCTTAGACTGAAATGTCCATGGTTTTCAAAGTTCAAAAGTATTATATGCTTATAGACAGAGCCAATTAAAGACGGAAGCATTAGTTACTACACAGGTCTATCAGTAACTTTTCTTCACAGATTTCAATACTGTGAAATATTCTCATCAGCCTATATTGAATAAGAACACATAATTTTTGCAAGAGTGAAGTTATAGTCCGAATATAGAATTTTTCTGAGTTAATATTCTGAAAATAACTCCACTTGGTAATTGAAACTTGAGGCATCAGCAGTTCCTCAGAATCAGTTCTGGGCAGTTGTCACTTTCTTTGACTCCTGGTTTCTTACGGTGGGGATATGCCAAGGCCAACGTAGCAAGTCGGTAAATAAACTCAAAAACTAAACAAAAAGCCCAAGCGTAAATATATTTCGTCAACTGTACAAAGATAAGCCTCCTAGGTTTCATGAGCTTAACTTGCTTAAAATAGCAAGTTGCCTGCTTGTGAGCTTCAGGGGCCCTGACGAGGGTGAGCGCTCCGTCTGCCCCATCCATCTGCTGCAGCTGTTGACCTGGCCTGCACAGCCAGGGTGTTAGTTTCAGCAATGTGTGCTCTAATACATCCTGCCCATACAGGCTGTCTGCTGGACACAGGACCGTTTTCACTTTCTTCCTTTCAACCATCTGCCAAATCATTTCAGAATACATTCTTTCATATGCCCCGGCTCTCAAACCATTTGGAGCAAAGTCCCTCACCTTCTCTGGACACACTACTTCTGCCTTGGTGGACGGTCTGCAGCCTGGGGAACGCTATCTGTTCAAAATCCGGGCCGCAAACAGGAGAGGCCCCGGGCCACACTCCAAAGCCTTCATTGTCGCTATACCAACAAGTAAGCATTGTGCGTCCCCGGCTTCCTCTCCTCCTTTCCTTCATTCAGCTGTTTGTTTTGTGTCACTTTCGATCCTGCTTCTGGGTTTAAAACTGCTCAGTTGATGATTTTGGAGGGCTAAGTTTGCACAGCAGTTTCCAAAAATATTTTTGTGGTCCTTTTAGAAATTAATCTCCCTAAAATGTTACTGATTGCTGGTAGTATTAGTAATTATTACATTTTTATCAACATTAATTATATGACTGATCTTGTGACATTGTTTAAATTGGGGCTTATATTGAGAGGGAAAGAACATTTTTGTAAGCTTAATGTGACATTTTTAAAGTGTTAGCCTTCTGCTACACAGCAGTTAAAATAATTTTTATTATTTTTATTTGTGAGTATGAGTGTATTGCCTGCATGCGTGTAAGTGCACCCGTGCTGTGCAGTGCCTGAGGGGGTCAGAAGACAGCATCCGATTCCTCTGGAACTGCAGTTATAGATGGTTGTTAGCCACCATGTGGGTGCTGGGAATTGAACCCCAGTCTTCTGCAAGAGCAGCCAGTGCTCTTAACTGCTGAGTCATCTCTCCAGCCCCTACACAGCATTTAAAAAGGTCACTTTGTACTGTATTATTTTAGAATGCAATTCTTTATTCAGAAGAATTTTATTTGTCTGGCTTATCTGATCAGTGTTAAAACCAGCCAGCAAGTTCATGAAGATCCAAACATGTGTGGGCTGTTTTTGGACCATGCTTTCTTTCCCACTTCTCCACACATATGCACCTCTCTCCTTCATGCAGGCTGTGAGGATACACAGACTATAGCAATACTACACAGCTTTATGTTGAGAGAAACTGAAAAAGATGTTTGTTCCCTCAAAGTCTCCCCATTGCTATGTAAATTCCCTTCCCAATACAACCTCCCTTCCCTCCGTCAGTTCTGCGTTGCAGGGTGCATTTAATATAGTAGTTTGCCTCCTCAGGAATCTTTATTTTAAGCATTATTTTGGAATTACAAATGCATCCATTATGAAAAAAATTTCAAGCCAGAAAGAGGAAGCAAAAACAAGGGTATTTGGGAAAATAGGAGATTCTTTGTGATGCTGCAGAATTTACAAGCTTGCTGATCACCTCTCTTACGTGCAAGGTCCAGACACATATTCCCATAGAATTTTGAGTGTAGCTCACTTGACACTAAGGTAGCTATAATACATTTCTAACACACTGATGATTATTTTAAGAACCTTCTACTTACTATTTTGCACTTATAAAACCAGTGAATTACAGTCATCCCTCAGTGTTCTTGGGAGGCTGGTTCCAAGACCCCCAGGGATACCCAAATCTAAAGATAAGTCCTTTACATGAAATAGAAGATTTTTGCATAGAACCTGTGCACGTTTTCCTGTATACTTTAAACCATTTCTAGCTTGCTTACAAAACTTAACCCAGTGGAAATGCTACATGAATACTATATTATTTAGGGGGAAAAAAGAAGAGCTAGTATATGTATAATGTTCAGTACAGACAGAGTTGGGTCCCCTTCCAAACATTTCCAAACAAGATCCACTGAATCTGCAGTTCTAGAATCCATCAATATGAGGGACTGACTATATATCAAAGTACCCATTTCAGAATTTCTTCAAATGGTCAATTGTGGCAACCCATGACTCAATCCATACACATGTTCTAGTTTCTTAAACACGTTTGTTACTTAAAGCAAAATAGAACTTAAAAAAAATTGTTATAGCCAGGCATGGTGGTGCACACCTTTAATCCCAGCACTTGGGAGGCAGAGGCAGGTGGATCTCTGTGAGTTCTAGACCAGCCTGGTCAGCATAGCGAGTTCCAGGACAGCTGGAGCTCTAGGGAGACCCTGTCTCAAAAAAGACAAAAAAAAATTGTTATAATTGTGAATACACATTGCTAGTGTTCCAAGGAATTAGAAGTGATCATTTTTGATGTTCGATTTGGCACACCTCTATACTACATGGTAGTTACTTTTAAATTTTCTTTGACATCCATTCTTTGAAATCTGTTCTAGCCAGTTCCAATGAGGTCAACACCCAGCAGAACACAAAGGAGAGTTGGAAACAGGAAAAAGCCCAGCCTTCCACACCTGCTCCCCAAACCACAGCTGCCTCAGAACACACCTCCCCAAGCAGAAATGTCAAGGATCTTCTCCTTGATTTAAAGAACAAAATCCTGGCCAATGGCGGGGTGCCCAGAAAAACCCAGCTTCGCCCTAAGATAGGAAAATTGGATCCTCAGTCCACAGAACTCACTGACGATGAGGAACTGGATTCCCTTGAGGACCCTCGGTCCTCACAGTCAGCAGCCCAAGACCAGAGACGACCCCCGAGGCTACCAAGCAGATCTGGCCACTGGGTCCCAGCTGCCGGCAAGACTCCAGGGAGGCCGGGGCTACCAGCACTGCAGCGGAAGGAAGGCATGGATAGACGTGGCCCCCCACTGGCCTCTCACCTTCACCCAGGGATCACACCCTCAGTGGAGGCCTCTTCTGCCCACCACCAGGCCAGCTCTACAAACAATGATGCTCTGAACCGAGGCGAAGATGAGCAAACAGGCTCCTCCCACCCCAAGACTGCTTCCCCCCAGCAGCTGTCTCCCAAGAGCCCCACCCCAGCGTGGCCAGCCCTGTCCCCCAGCCGCCACTCCAACTCTAGAAGCCCAGTGCACCCAGGCACAAACCCAGCCTCATCTGCACTGAGGCCTCCCCAATCTGCCACTGGTGTGGAAGAGTCCAGTGCTCCAACCCCACCCTTGAGGCGTTCTCCAATGCATAGAGGGTCCTCTCGGCTCCTGCCGGCCCAAACACATACCAGATCCCCGTTTTCCAGGGGCGGGAAGGGTGGGCACGAAGCCCCTGCAGCCAGTTCCCACGTGCCCTCACGGTCTGGGTCAGCCACGCCATCCTCTGGCTCTTCTAGGACAGAGGGTCCGGAGGAAGAGGACACTTCTGATGGTGGGGGCAACAGTGTCAGAGTCGCAGAAGACACCGGAAGGCAGGCTGAGGTCACTGCCCAGACCCAGCAGGCCCGGCCTGCCTCTGGACACTCCAGTTCGCTCCGGAATAAGCCCTTCACCGCCCACAGCAGGATTCCGAACAGGTTCCCCAGTGGCCGGGGACTAAGGCTGCAGTCCTCTGGGTCCCCTCAATCTACACCAGCCTCAAGAATCTTCACCAGGGCTCCTTCACAGCCAGCATCCTACCCTAGACCTGGTTCAGATGTCCATGGAGATGGTGAGGATGAGGAACCACTTCCAGCCACTGTGGCCAATGGCCACTTGCCTTCCTCCTCCAGGCACCCAGCTTCTGGGGGCCCCGACCCCCTAAGAAGAGGCTCCCAGCGAGGGGCCAGCTTGTACCAGAAGGAGCCCATCCCAGAGAACCCCAAAGCTGTCGGAGCAGATGTGCATCCCCAGGGCAAATCCTCACTATCCTCCAAGGCACAGGACGTTCAACAGAGTACCGAGGACGAAGCACCCCAAACGCACCCAGTGTCCACAGGTCGGCTTCGGTCCCCTGCTCGGCCTCCAGCAGCGAGGCCACAGCCCTACCCTGGGTCCAGTGTTCCCAGAAGGATGGCACCTGGCCGGACCGCAGAAAAGCAACACGAGGTCCCTGGTCCCCAAAGCAAGGACTCGGACCGGTCACTTTCCCAGCCCAGGCTAGCAATTGCTCACGCAGGGCATGACGATCCCTTGTCACAGGGTAGCACCCACTCAGACCGGCACACAGCAAGCTCCCGTGGGGTGCGCCCTTCACCTCCCCAGGGCCAGGATGAGGAATCCCAGAACACCTATGACGACAACAGCACCAAAGGCGAGGCCCCAGACACCCGGGCCCCCACGCACTCCACGCGTGCCAAGGATGCCACCCCGTCCCTGCTCAAGCACAGCAGACCCCAGCCAGAGCACGGAGGCTCCTCTGGGAGGCCCAGCCGGCCCGCCAGCCTCCACCCCCGGGCCCAGGTCCCTGGCAGGGCTGGGGTCCAGACCACACCAGGGAAGAAGACCTCGCCTTCTAAGCGTCCCCAGTCATCTGAGTCTCGGCAATTGGTCTCCACCGAGGAGGAGGAGGAGCAGGAGGAGCAGGAGGAGGAATTTTTAAAAGGCAAGGAAGACCCTGTGGCTGCCACTGTTCCAAAGCGGCCTTTTTCTTCCACTGCTCGGGGCAGCACATATGCTGCCCAGGATAGGGCTGCCCCGCGGAGCCCTGTGCAGGAAAATGGAAAGAGACCACCAGGCAGCCCTCTAAGGGCCTCACACCTGCCTACCGAACACCTGCCTCGCAACCCGGCCACGGTCAGTCCCATCCCGAGCACACACTCCTGGCCAAGGCACGCCACCCATGCCCCTCCCAGCTTCTCCTCCACCACGCCCATGCTCTCCTTGCGCCAGAGGATGCAACGCAGATTCCGGACCCCTGTCTCCCGCCAGTCTCCGCCTCTGAGACCTGTGCACAGTCAAGGTAACTGGTTTTCACCAACAGCTACCTAACCTTTTATTTTCTTCCTAAACAGTGCTCCGTGATCACCACAACTTCTGAGCATTAAATTTTCTTATTTATTTTTATTTTATGTGTATGAGTGCTTTGTTTATGTGTATGTAAGTGCACTCATGTGGTGCAAAGTCTTTGGAGGCCAGAAGAGAGTGTTGGACCCCTTGGAACTGGAGTTACCAACAGTTGTTAGCTACCATGTGGGTGCTAGGAACCTAACCTAGGTCCTCTGCAAGAACAGCTAGTGCCCTTAAGCAGTGAGCTATCTCTCCAGTTCCTCTAACAATGAAAAAAAACAAAACAAACAAACAACAAGTTTATTTTGTAACTAAGCAACCACCATATCCAAGCACTGTGTTTAGAGATTTGCAAACAAGGCAAATCACTTTCCTATTTGTTGAGTCTCTTGGGGCCAGCATGTGGACCCCACTTTTCAGATGAGCTTGACACTCAAGGATCAGAGCTGCTGACTTTAAATCACATTTCTAGGTGATGTCAGAGCTGCAGTTGTATCCCTAACACAAAGCCCACCATCCCATCACCCTCCAAACTTCCTCTTTGAATCCCTTGACATCTGTGTAAATGGGTCACAGCCAACATTTTCCAACAGTTATTCATTTTTAAATAATAATATTTTATTATTTTTATTTTATGTGTATGAGTGTATTATATTGCCTGCATGTATGTAAGTGCACCCATGTCATACAATGCCCATGGATGTCAGAAGAGGGCATTGGATCCCCTGGAACTAGAGTTACAGATGGCTGTTAGCCACCATGTGGGTGCTGGAAACCAAACCCTGGTCCCTGGCAAGAACAAACAGTGCTCTTAACCGCTGAGCCATCTTTCCGTCCCCTTTCGGTTGTTCGTTTGCAGTACACGATATGTTAGGTAGGTGTGAAAGCTTATCTTGTTCTTATCCGCCCCTCTATCTTCCATAGCCAAAACTCGACCTAACACACCCCAGATCAAACTCAAATGTCTTGATTCATAGTGCTCAGGCATTACAATCAACAGATAGTGTCTATAACCTGCAGGAAACACATGGTAGACAGTTATCACACAGTAGCATCAGGACAATATGTGTCCCAAATTCTGTAACAGAGGCTGGAAAATAGACCAACTGTGAACTAAGATCTATCTGTACACCCAGGGCAAGGTCTAAGGTATTTACTATAAATTTCCATTTTGTTTAACCATATACTCTTCTTGAATATAATGGATTTCTTAGAACATTCTTGAACAAATGTATTAGTATTGCATGGTATTTGTGTATTTATTTGGGACGGGTCTTACTTTGTAGTCTAGACTTGCCTAGAACTAGCCATGTGTCTCAGGCTGGCCTCAAACTCAAAACAGTCCTCTTGCCTCAGCTTCTGGAGCACCATCATGCTTGGCAGGATTTGTTAATTTGCATGATACCTTGTCCCATATTGAGGAGAGTTTTTCATTAAGACTATTTTGTACAAAAGCATGACCCTATTAATAGATGTAAAGCTTAATTTTGCCTTGTGTGTTGTAGGAACTCAATACATGTTTGCTGGATAAGGAAAGAATGAACTAAGTAAGTCTGACCAGCACTGTTGTAAGAAGTCCCAGCCTTCCATCCCTAGGGGAGGCTGGGCCACGGAACCTCCCAGCCGAGAGCCCAGGCCAACTGTCCCTGAGAATAGATACAATTCTGAGGGCCACTCCTGCCCCTGCCTCAGCCTCAGCAAATACTTTCCAAGCAGCACAGCAGGGTCCAGAACGCTGGGGAGCACGCATGACTCCTAGGCACCTGAGGACTGGGTCTAGAATCAGCTTGAAAGACTTGTTCTGTTGGACAGGACAGCATTTAATATACTTTCAGGATAATTTTCTCCATCATTCCACTGACATCCCTCTAATTGGCTAAAATGGACTACCTTAAACTAGTTTAAGACTAGCAAGGCCTTAAACTTCATAAGCAATGTACTTCTGAGGAACAGTCTCAGGCCCCCACCATTGTCGGAAAACTGTCACTTGACTGTAGACATTACTGTCATGTAGATGTCATAGTGTAAGATTAATTAACATATAGCAGCTGTTGATTTAAATTCTGTTCTGTGTTTGTTGGAAATGGTGTGTCAGAGCCTTTATTTTGGTATGAAGTCAGCAGGTTTTATTTTTTCTTTTATTTCCCCCACTGTGTAGGATCCAATGGCAGAGCAAATGCAGAAGAGACAATTCTTCCTGGTAGTATTGGAAAACCCAGTGGACAAAGAATTATCCATGGTCCTCAAGGAACAAAGTGGGTAGGGTACACTTCTCCACACACTTCTGTTGTTCTCACGCTGTTGGGAAGAGAAAAACCACGGACACCATATGCCATAAACCAGGCAGTCAGCTCCTCTCCCTCCTCTCCTCTGTCCTGTCTTCTCTTCTCCGCACGTCTCTCCTGTCCTCTCCTGTCCCCTCCCTCCCCTCCTTTCTCCCCCCACTGCCTCCCCTCCTCTCCCCTCTTTTCCTTCCCCCTTCCTCTCCTCTTTCCCCCCCGCCCCTCCCCCCTCCATCCCTCCTTTCCTTCTTCTCCTCTCCACACTTCCGTCTTCTGAATAAAGTCTTGCCATAGAGCCCAGGCTGGCCCCAAACTTGAGCTCCTCCTGCCTCAGTCTGCCAGGTTCTGGAATTATAAGTGTGTCCCATCCTATCTATCTCAAAATTTAGCAGTTTAAGAAAGAGAAAAAGGTACATGTTTCTACTTGATAAACTGGGGACCTCTCTCATGTTAAATAAATGCAAAACTACTACACTATAGAAAACATTCTCTTTTTCATCTTTAGTTTTAACTACCTTTGTTTGAAGATGCTTAAATATAATTGCTTTCAGTGTTTAGAAAGTCTTTGGTTCTCCAAAGACTAGTTTATTCCTCATGTAGCTGAGAACCCCATTTACTTTTATTTTTAGCTTTCTGTGTAATTAGATATTAGATGTATTTTGTGCTAGTTGTGTAAAAAGAAGGGTAAAACCAAAACTCTAAATCAAATAGATCATTTCTATCAGATCAGCTTTTGATTCACTCAACAATTGCTGTTTGACTGAAATTAAAAATATGCCTAAGTACTTGCATTTAAACAAAGAATATGCCAAAGTCCAGCCTGGCGTTAAGATAAATGTTTAGGAGATGTTTGTGGGTTGAGGATAATGAACAGAAAGCACAGTTTAGGAACGGAAAATATTCTTGGAAAGGATAAAAAAAATATTGTTTAATTACCAAGTGTTCCACTGACAATGAAAATGTTTAGAAAAATATATTGAGTATCTCTGAACATTTTTATCACAGATGACCTGAAGATCAGAATGTAGGTTTGTAAAGAAGCAAAGCAAATGGAAGAAAAAGCACTTTCTGGCTGGGTTTTGATACTTCTGTATCATCTTAGCTGAACGGTTGGGAAGCAACTGGAGTCAACTTTGGAAAAGTAGGATTTATAATAAACAAATCTTACTGTCAAAACGGGACTTCTTTCATGGCACGATCATGTAGACCAGCTTGAGATCACCATGGTCTGGTTAATCACAGGTCTCGGGCAGGACCAGGCCATTTGTGTATTGGACAAGTCTCTAGGTGATGGAGTAGTTGCCAATACAGGACTTGAGGGACCATCAGTGAAGAACATGAATTCTTTCCTGATAGGAAAAATAATATTTTTCTAGTTTTATAATTTTTCAGAATAGGACAGTTTGCATCCATTAATATTATAAATTAAAAATTTTAAATTCAATAATAAAAATTTAATTTTGACATAAAAGCATAAAAGGAACATTATATAAGTACTTTACTATTTATTATTATTTTTTTTGGTCTTTTTGAGACAGTGTCTCTCTGTAGCCCCAGCTGTCCTGGAACTCACTATGTAGACCAGGCTGGCCTTAAACTCACAGAGATCCACCTGCCTCTGCCTCCCGAGTGCTGGGATTAAAGACATGCGCCACCACACCCGGCACTATTATTTTTATGTGTATGAGTGTATTGCCTGTCTGTATTTAAGTGCACCCATGTCATGTTGTGCAATGCTCACTAAGGTCAGAAGAGGTTGTTGGGTTTCCCTGGAACTGGCATTACAGATAGTTGTTAGCTGCCATATGGGTGCTGGTAATCAAACCTGTGTCCTCTATAAGAACAGCCAGTGCTCTTAACTGCTGAGCCATCTCTCCAGCCCCCATCTTATATTTTTAAGTCCTAGCAATACATGTTCATCCAATCATTAAAATAATCCAAGAATACAAGCTTTTTTTTTTTTTAATCCCAAATCACTTCTTAGAGGTAACCACCACTAACAGCTCGGTATATGTTCTTCTAGAATATGTGTCTCTAAAATTTTAAGCTTACATACAAAAAAAATTTTTTTTTCAAAATAGCCCTGTAATCAATCTGGCTATGGATCAATTTAGGCCAATGTATACAAAATTTCCATTTTTTTTATTAGCTGCTAATGGGCCATTACTTAACTTCATTAATGGAACCTTGGGTTGTTTCTTAGATTTTTGACATTAAACACAGTGTACTAAATGGTAAAAAAAAAAATACATTGAGCATCTTTTGCATATTTGGGAAACAAACCAGCTTATGCATTATATGGGTGAGTAAGTGACATGAGATGGGACTATAGCTCATTTTGTAAATGTTGCAGGTAGGGACAAGGTTTCCTTCTTCTCTCCAGGCTTTCTTCCGCAGGAGCCTCGCATGACTGTACAAGTAGCTGGGTAGATGTGAACATTTCTGAACCTCCAGTGCATTCTTCCATCTGTGTCGTCCTGGTTTAGGTTGTGGACCTTGATCGCGGGTTAGTCTTGAATGCAGAAGGGAGGTACCTCCAAGATTCCCATGGAAATCCTCTTCGGGTGAAACTGGGGGGAGATGGTCGCACCATTGTGGGTGAGTGAGACTGTTTCTAAGAGACACACATGCGCTGAGTTAACTGTGGATAGCGCTCCCCTCGTTTTTAAGGGCTGCCATTTGTCTTATGACTTTCAATGGTGTGGAAAGGTCCTCAACAGAGCCAGAGCTCAGCATTTCCCCTTATGCTATTCCTTCAGACCCCTCTAGAAATGTTTACTCTGTTCTTGAACTTGACCGTTTAGAACAAAAATCTGAAAACTATGGCCTGCAGGCCAATCTCTGAACTGCCTATTTTTATAAACCCTCTAACCCCAGAACAGTTTCTATACTTTTAAAAGTGAAGCTTCCCAGAAAAAAGAATATTTTGTGACATGTGGTAAAATTATATAAAATTCAACATTTCAGTGTCCATATACAAAGCTTTACTGGAACACAAGAAACATTTATTTATGCATTGTCCAGCTCATCTATTGTGTATTGTTTATGTGTTTCCTACTGTGTTTTTAGCCCTATAAGGACTGAGCTGAGTAGTTGCAACACAGACCATCTGGCCTACAAAGCTTAAAATATTTACTTTCTGGCCTTTTATGGAAAATGTTTGCCATTCCCGGCCCAACCTAATATTTTCGTCTTCAGAGTAGAAATGAAGAAAATACTGTCCCCCTTAATAGATACCAAGTTTAATCAGGATAACGGGGCATACTGACTTAGGAGTTTTATATATTGTATGAGGTAGAGCACTGGACAGCAAGTAAGCCCACTGGTCTCTACACAGCAGCAAATAGTACTACCTCAGTAATATTTAATCACTCCTCCACTCCTTCACATTTTACTGATTAAAGCATAAGCATACACAAGCTTCGAGAAGACACTTTCTCCCTGTGTTTTCTGTCTTCCAGACTGCTTTACCTTGTCACATCGATCTTGGTTGGTTTCATTTCAGATCTGGGAGGAACCCCTGTGGTGAGTCCTGATGGCCTCCCCCTCTTCGGGCAGGGGAGACATGGCAAACCCCTGGCCAGTGCCCAGGATAAACCCATCTTGAGTCTTGGAGGGAAGCCCTTGGTGGGCTTGGAAGTCATCAGGACAACCACTCATCCTCCTACCACAACCATGCCACCAACCACAACGACCACCACCGTGCCAACCACTACCACCCCGCCAACCACTACAACCCCATTGACCACTACAACCCTACAGCCCACCACTACCACCCGCCGTACCACCACCCGCCGCACAACCACCACCAGGCGTCCTACAACTACAGTCCGAGCTACTCGGAGGACCACCACCACCACCACCACCACCACCACCCCGGAACCCACCACCCCTACCCCTACCTGTCCCCCTGGGATGCTGGAACAACAGGATGAAGATGGGAACCTGATAATGGGCTCAAATGGAATCCCAGAGTGCTACCCGGAGGAAGGTAACCAACCAGCTTTGTTTTAATGTAACCGATTCACTTGCCTAGTATGCTGGAAGTCAGAGGAGAGTTACTGAGCCTGCCAGAGAGGGGTAAGTTCTGTGCAAGGGAGAATGGCAGCCAGAGAGAGATGTCCTGACCCTTAGCATGTTTGTTTGGCACACGTCATAGGGTTGTCAGATTTAGCAAGTAAGAAATGTGGTATGAGACACACCTATACACACAAGTTATTTGCTGTTTGTCTAAAATAAGGGTGTCCTGTATTTTATCTGGCAGCCCTTGTCATAACCCAAGTCAGAAATTTACCTGAACCTTGATATTATTGGTTTGGATTAGTGTTTTCTGAAGTGCTTTCCACTGTGTATTAGTAGATTGTGTGTGTGTCTGTGTGTGTGTGTGTGTGTGTGTGTGTTATATAGGTAGGTTCGTTCTGTGACTGTGATTTAAACAGGTCTGATGAATCATTATTGGGTGGACCATTTAGATCATTTAACAGTCTCCTCATGAACTCCAGGTAAGCTGTGCTCCCCCAGCAGCCCTCACATTGAGCAGCTGAACTGCCCTTGATCAGTCTTCCCTTCGAAGAATGCCAGTGCTCAGTGGCTTCTCATGGGAGCCTGGGCTTTCTGTCGGGTAAGAATAGACCACTTCTCTTGCCTGGCCAGACTTGATTTGGGCACTCCAGATGCCCCTGCCTGTCTTCCTACTGAAGAGTGGGAGCCACGGTGGCCCAGTCGTGGTGGACCAGCATGTCGTTGTCCTGTCTCCTCAGGTTTCTGTGCTGGTTGACAAAGCCAACCTAGCTCCACATCAGACACAGAGGAGACAAATTCACCTCCTTCCCTTAGGTTGGAATGAGTCATGTGTCGTCTGTAAAGCCTGCCTTTTAGGCTAATGCAGAGGGAAGACCCTTCCTTTTAGGAGTCATTGGTAGCCCTGGAATTCTTACATAACAATGCTGTCTGTGATAAGCCGTGAAAAAATTGTCTATGAACCACTGGAACATGAGCACTATACTCAAAATGAGGATTCCCTCTGAAGTCATTCTTTACTTGGAAAGCTGCAAAAGTAGCAGGAAAATATGACACGCCTTGAAAGTTCACACCAAAGAAAAAGGAAACGTATGGAGGGAGAGAAGCCACTGGGGAGAAGATCGATGTGCTGTTCACTCAGTGAGTACAAATCTGATTTTATGAAAAAAAAAAAAAAACACCACTCATTTGTTTTGTGTGGAAGGTAGGCAAGTGTGTACCTACATGCGTGGAGGTCAGAGGACATTTTTCGGGAGTTGGTTCTTACCATGTGGGTTCTGGAAATGGAACTCAGGTTTTCAGACTTGGTGGCAAGAGTTTTGCCTGGTGAGCCATCTTGTTGGCCTATAAATTTACCGTTGAGTTTGTAGTATTAAAGTTACTTCTTCCTTCAGCATATATCAATATGTCTGTTTTAAACATGGAAATGGGGGCCTGGAGAGATGGCTCAGCAGTTAAGAGCACTCTTCTTATAGAGGGCCCAGGTTTGGTTCCTAGCACCCACATAGTAGCTAACAACCATCCATAACTCTGGTTCCAAGGGGTCTAGCACCCTCTTCTGGCCTCCACAGGCATTGCATGCACAGGTGCACTTACACGCAGGCAAAACACTCATACAAATAAAATAAATAAAATTTAAAAGTAGAAACAATGGAAGCATAATTGCTTATAATTGGTTATAAACAGAAGGACAATTGCTTAGGATTTTATTTTAATCACTGCTGTTTTGTATTTTCTTTTGTCTGCTTTTAAAGGACTTCTAACCAATTGTTTTCATTTGATTTTTATGTTCTGGACTTAAACTTGGCATAAAAGCCAATAGATTTTCCTACCATTTGTGTCAATTATTTTCTTTGCCAATCATGATGCATTTGTGTTCATTTTATTTTATTTTATTTACATACACTCTTTGAACTCCTTAGTCCAACCCAAAGACCAATGTACATCTGGGCAGCATTTCAAAATCGAGTACAAATAAACACAAAATGTTGTGAAAAATTTAAATTCAGCAACAACAGCAGATCTTACTAATATTGTAATGGGCTATGAGTTATTTTTAAAATTCTTCAGTGTGATCTATCTTCTTTTTCTCTGATTTTTAAAAAAATTTAAAAATGTAATAACCACACGATTAGAAGGAGCATTTCATTACAGCTTTAACCTATCTTCTTTTTTACTTCTAACAAACTGTACTACATGTTTTCCTCTTTGAATTTATTCTATTCATATTTATTTTATTTTTAAACCACTTTGCTGAGGTGTAAGTGACATAAAAAGAGCTGTGCATGTTTAATCTACACAGCCCAAGGAGTTAGGGATGAGAATACCTTTGTGACACCACCACACCATGAAGGCCGCAGACACGCCATCACCGCTCAGAGCTCTCCTCCCTCTTGTTAGAATTCCTCTGTCGTTCCTCTCTCCATCCCATGTCTTGGAGCTGCTTTTTCTCTCCCTCTCTAAAGCTGGCCCTTCTGGCCCAGTACTCATATACTTATTCCTTACTGGGTTTCTTTTTTTAAAATGTTATGTGTATGTGTGTATTGCCCCATGTATGTAAATGCATCCATGTTGTATAATGCCTGCAGAAGACAGAAGAGGCTGTTGGATCCCCTGGAATTGGAGTTACAGACAGTTGTTAGCTGTCATGTGGGTGCTGGGATTTGAACCTGGGTCTTCTAAAAGAATGGCCAGTGTTCTTAACCACTGAGCCATCTCTCCAGTCCCTTTTACTGGGTTTCTTATAGCAGGCTCCACTGGCTTCCTCTTCACTTTTTTCTTGTTCAACATGCCGTCATCAAATAGGACCATGGGCCAGACACAACAGTTGCCTCTTGTGTGGGAATTTGGTTCCAAAGAGGGCTTGAGATTTGAAAGTAGTAATCATATTGCTCTAAAAAAAGCCTGTCCTTGATTAGAAAATATACTTGCTGTTTGTTGGCTCAGCACCTTGTATTGGCCTCAGTACATAGAAGGGTGTTCTGCAGCACAGAATGCTGTAATGGCCCTTGGAACAGAAATGCTCCCAGTCCAGCCTCTAGCATCAGAGGAGGAAGACTTGTCCCTGTCCCCTACAGAACCCACAGAAACACCTGAGTCCCATCGACACCCCTAGCTCTGCCTTTTGCTTCGTGCTTTCCTCACATAATCTCCTTTGCGGTGTTAGAGTTCAATCCATAGCCTGCGTTCACAGATGCTGGGAATCTATCTGCATCTAAGACTAGCCAAGCAACACCCTGGCTAGGAACCTAAGTGTTTATTGCTGTAGTGGTTGTGACTTGGAGCCTGCACTGGTGGTCAGTCATGAATGTCAGTGAGAGGCTCTTCCAAATCCTCCCGTCACCCTTCCTCAGCTGGTCACTGGACATTCCATTTCATCTGCAGAGTCCTAGTCAAAAACCGAGCATAGAACTGGGAAAACGGGCAGGAAGCCCCAACCTTAGCTGAGGAACTATTGGCAACTGACGACTGTTGGGTGACAGAAAGCTAGCATTTTGTTCTAGCTCTCCAGTTTTAAAAGCATCTTTTCAAATCTCCAAGTCTTGGCTCCCTTGGTTAATGCATGTCTCCTTACCTTTGAATACTGCTTTCAAGCAGTGCTTTAGAAATAACCTTGGGCTGTTCAGTCATTTCACTCATGTGTGCTATTTATAAATACTTCTTTGTTTGTTATGGATGCTGTACTATGTAGCCAGAGATGCATATTACATGGCGTGTTTCCCATGTACCACGTATTAACTCATCTTCACACACACACACACACACACACACACACACACGTGCATTGCTGGGACCGTACATCTGTATATGCCCACATAAGCACAGTGTGTTGTTTTGTTAATTTTGTCTTTTTTTTAATTAAAAAAAAATTTTTATTATTTTTATTTTATGTGTATGTGTGTATTGTCTGCATGTAGGTAAGTGCACCTGTATTGTGCAATGCCCGTGGAGGCATTGCACCCGTATCGTGCAATGCTCAGAAGAGGCGGTCAGATCCCCTGTAACTGGAATTATGGACAGTTGTTAGCTGCCATGTGGGTGCTGGGATTCGAACCTATGTCTTCTGCAAGAACAACCAGTGTTCTTAACCATTGAGCCATCTCTCCAGCTCTGTTAGTTTTTTCTGTAGTTCAATATGACTTCTCCACCATGTAATGACCATCTGTGACTGATGACAGGTTCCCGTCACATCTCTAATGCCTCATGGTACCATGTTATGGTCTAAACATCTTAAGAAACAGGCCTTCTCCGTTTTCTAACTGGGAGGTGTAAGCCAGGGATCTTTGTATTTCAGGGCCTCTCTACAGCAGATTGGATGAAGTTGCATAGATTTGGAAATGCTCTGATCCAGCTGAACATTCAGCAATTTATGATGTGACCTCATTACATGTTGCTGAGAAACATCTGTCATTATGGAAAATGGTTCTACCCTCCCACTGCTCACACTCCTGACAGAAAATTCAAAGAGAATAACTGGAAATTCCTTCAGCTGGACCCACCTTACCATGTGGAACCATACTCGTGGCTGTCGTTTGCTTCCTCTAAACTTCTACTGAGAATGAACTTTGGAAAAATACTTTTTAATATCCCTGGAGCTGTGGTCCTAATTCCTGGGTGACATTTTGCATCCACTTTTTTCATGGCCGTGGATGAAGCACTAAGAAACCCACGCTGCATTCCCATGCTGAAGATTGGAAGCTACTTTCATATGAAGTTCAAACTTCTTCCATGGATGCCGGACTGCTTATAGAATATCCAGTTTTACATAGTTCCAGTCTAGAATGGCATTCTGGAGGGGCAAAGTGAGGTGGTCAGCTGTCCTTTAAAAGTGTGAACATACTGCATTACATCTGGAAATTGTTTTCTTGGAGACAAGATGGTGGTAATTTAGAAAAAAAATGGCTGAATTTATTTGATTGAAAAATGTATTGTCACTCAGTGGGATGTTCATTTATGCCAGAGGCCCTGTTCGTCACTCATCTGGAGACGTGATCTACATTTGCAGGTACACGCATCTGTGATCTACTGCGTCTCTGACTGTTTCAACAGCTCAAGGAATTACCATCCACAAAGGAAACGTTACTGGAAGTAACTTGTGTTGGTTGCAGATATATTGACGTTGGCCTGGCCTTTGGAAAAGCCATGATGGCATTTTTTCACAAAATGACCATGCTGCACCTGAAAAGCAGATAATCTGGAACATGTCTCTCATTAACAGTCACCATCAGAACAGGCGGTCACTTCACAGGTGGAGCAGGCTCTGGAGCCTGTCTTGGGCAACTGAAGGGGGCTTTGTGCTGTGATCTTCAGAAGGGCAACTCGCCATGTTAATCTGACTAAAAGCACCAAAGAAGCCAGTAGCATTGTTATATGGGACTATTTCTGGGTAAATTAGAGCAATGACTTCCTAACAATTTTTAAAAATGCCGAAATGGATGCACATGAGTCTTTGGAGAAGGGAGTTTATATACTGTCCACATTGTTTTCCCTTAATCTCACTGTGGAATGTTGAGTCAAACAGCATCTTAAGGTTTAAAAAAGAATTGGACTGGTGTGTTCAACATCTAAAAAGTCGAATCAGTTTTATGAAGTACAAAGTATATAGTCCTTGGAGTCAAAGGGCTTGAAGTTCACGTTATGTCGTTCACCAGCTATGTGATGACAGGCTTGTTATAAATCTTCTCAGAGCCTCAATGTCCCAGCCCCAGACATAGGTGTGATAAACCCCATAATCCCCAGGGTATTTTGTGAGGATTAAGTCAAATAGTGTATGCAGGAAAGTGCCCATGTGCAGAAGGCATCAAATAACTCACAGCTCCTTCCTCCTGTCGTCCCCTGAGCCCTTTTCAAGGGGGCTTTGTGCTTAGAATTCTGTGTTATAGCTGTGGGCTTCAGGTCAAAAAGAGGGAAGGAGTTCCTCTGAGGTTTTTAGAAAAGCTTTGATGTCAAGATTGTCCCCACCATGGAGACCATGCTCTTTGCCCCCAAGTAGGGAAATATTATCCTTGCATGTCTCCTAAGAAGGCTTCTGCTTGAACTAGCCAGATAATGCAAAAATGCCAATTATTATTTTTCCATAATTTATTCATCTTCCTGGACCTCAGCTATGATTGATGGCAGACATTAAAAACCCATCTACAATTCTATAAATCACATTGAAATGATTATTCTCTAATCTTAAGAGATCTAGTGATTAGTAACGTCTTAAAGAGAGATTAACAGTTTATTTCCCGAGTCAGAGACTAGGAGCCTAAAGACAGTGTGAAAAGTCAGTGAAAAGGAGACAGACAAGGCATCAAGTGACTTAAGACGATGCAGGCCTTTGTTCAAGGAGAAAACCTGCAGAGGGGTGTCTCTGCAAGAATCAGAGCCCACTGTCCACTTGTAGTCTGAGGTGGTTATAGAGAAGAAAGGGAAGATCAGGAAGGAGGTTAAAAAGCTGCCTCTTTTGGTTTACAGTTGGCCATTGCTAAGGGGAGACCAGTGAGTGGTCAGTTAAAGAATGTTAGGTGATCAATAAGTCTCTCTTGTGACAGGCCATTACTGAAACATTCTAACAGCCAAGATTGAGGTGGGTGGGGAATAAAGACTGATGACGTGAGTCCAGGGGGAAGGGAGTTTGTCACTATCCAGTGCCTCACCCTGCTGGCTGCTTTCTGATGCTTGAGACTTAGCATCGGAAACTTTCCCTCCAAGTCTAAAACAAAGCCCATGGGAGGGTGGAGGTAGCTGGGAGAGTGGCAGAGAATTCTGGGAAGTCAGAGCTAGGTGTTTGCTCCTGAACAAAGGGAATTTGGACTGTTTTTCTCTCATCTCAGAGAAGAGAAAACCTGCCTTCCGTTTGGGGTTCTGATGATCTATCTTCCTTCTTGGAAACTGAGGAGACAATAGTGTTGGCAGCTTGTTTCTGGAAGCTGCTTGGAGTGAATAAATTGCTATTCTCAGGGACCGGATACGGAGGCAGCCCTGGGAGGAACCGTGGGCATGTGATGACCTGTCTCCCCTCTTCCTCCCTAGATGACTTCTCAGGTTTGGAGACTGGCACAGCGGTACCCACGGAAGAGGACTATGTTGTATATGATGACGGTATGGAACTGATCCAAAACACACACTTTGGGTTTTGATCTCAAGAGCTTATTTTAATTATAAGCAGATGATTTTTTTTTTCTGGTCCTTTTTGAGACTGGGTCTCCCTGTAGCCCCAGCTGGCCTGGAACTTCCCATGTAGACCAGGCTGGCCTTAATCTCACAGAGATCCACCTGCCTCTGTCTCCCTGCTGGGATTAAAGGTGTATACCACCACACTCTGGCTTCAGTAGATGCTCTTAATTGCACTTTCCTTTGGGCTAGCTAAGACAGTGGTTGTAACTAACCCCTCTTCCAAGCCACTCCCAATTACATGTTTGAGCTAAAGAAAAACAGCAGGTTTGATGTGCGGACGCATCTTCCAAACAAGTCCCTCTCAATCCCCTTTGCTGCTGAAACTACGCTGGGGCTGTCGCTGTCCTGGTGCCCTGACTCCAGCGTCTCTATCTGCAAAGCCACTTGGTTTAAATCAGTGTGGAGCCTCCTAGCTGGACGCTGCTCTTTCTCACTCTTTCCTTCCCTAATTAAACAACAAGGGTGATGCTGCCTGTGCTGATTTCTTATCAGAGAATCTTTTCAAGCACAGTAAGTTCAGGAATCCAAAACACCCCTGACCACGCGACAACAGTCTCTCAATAAATAGTAGCTGTTGTCAGTGCTTCTAGGACCCTGGGATTGCACTGTGTCCTCTGCAAGTTACCTCTGCAGTTGAGTTCACTGGGGAGCTTGTCCCCACCTGGCGGCCGGCCTTTGGTGCCTGACTGAGCTCAGGACGGTCTCAGGATGCCTTCCTCATGTGCTAATAGCCGTAGCTTCAGGGGTCTGGAATCACAGTCCGGTGACTCATGTTGCCTTTGAGGCTTTGTTTATTCACAGTCAAGTTTAATGCAGTGGCTTAATCCATTACAGTTTCTAAATCAGAACTGACTTTAAAGAAAAGCAGCAAATGCTAGGGAGCCAAGAAGACTTCTTAGCACCTTGGAAAACATTCAGTTCCTTTCTTAGCATCTTTGAATATTTGAAAAGGGTATGGTATTATTTTCTTTTTTAAATGTTAAAAAGATTAGTTCTGTTTAGAGCATCAATTCTACCCTCCTCCCAGAAAAAGTCTATATCTAGATTTTTAAAAATTTAAGTTTATTTTGTGATGTGTTTTTTAAAAAAGGTTCATTCACTTATTTATTATGTGTATATGTGTGCCTTCATGAGTTTATGTGCACCATGTGTATGCAGGTGTCTGTGGAGGACAGAGGGCATTGGATCCCCTGGAGCTAGAATTACAGGTGGTTGTGAGCCACCTGATACGGGTTCTGGGAACCGAACACAGGTCCTCTGTAAGAACAATAAGTGCTCTTAACTACTGAGCCACCTGTCCAATCTCATGTGAGCTTTCATGGCTCTTACAGGAAAAAAGAATGGCCTTGGGCCATTAGCATGAGCACGATCTAAGGGCCTTCCTATGTCTTTTCCTAAAACGTCCTTTTTTCAGTATATTTTATTTGTTTTTATTTTTGTAGATGGGTATTTTGCCTGCATGTATGTACGTGCACCATGTGCTTGCAGTGCCCTCAGAGGCCAGAGGAGGCCTGAAGAGGGTATCAGATCCTCCGGAACTGGAGTTATAGATAGTTGTTAACTGCCACATGGGTGCTGGGTACAGAACCTGAGTCCTCTGCAAGAGCAGCTGGTGCTTTTAACTGCAGAGCCATCTGTCAAGGCCCTAAGACCTCCTATTTATGAGCACGTGCTTCTTTTTTCTTTTCTTACCTGCAGTTGCTTATAGCGGTGGTTCCTGTGTATGTGTGTGTGTGTGTGTGTGTGTGTGTGTGTGTGTGTGTGTGTCCATAGTTGTATCTTAAGATTCTTTAGATTGCAAGCGGTGCTTCTTTTCTGGTAGCATCTAAGTAGAAAGATTTTGTATCCTTTCAGATTATGAATTTGAGACCACAAGACCACCGGCCACCACCATGCCCTCGACCACTGCTGCCATGCAGAAGGTCATCCCAGAGGAAGGCACGGTCAGCTCCTTCCCTGAGGAAGAATTTGATCTGGCTGGAAAGAAGCGATTTGTTGGTAAATAGAACTTCCTTAATCAGAGAAATGTGGGTTTTTAAATTTTGCCTTTTGAAGATGAGTGTAACTAATCTCTTGGCGTGGCTAAGGCAGTGCCTTTTGAGAAAAAGTTTTCCCAGGATGAAATTTCCATTTGGACTAATTTAGTGGGTCTATTTTATTTAGATGCACATTAATTTGCAAAAGTCATGCAAGGGGAAAATGAGGCAGAACAGTTAGTGTCCAACAGAGGATGCCAGCAGGTCTGCCTGCATAGACCAAGAGACACTTAAAAGGCACCTGGACTGTGGGATGTGCATTGTATTTTATTGTAGCCAAGCTGGTGTGTGTGTGTGTGTGTGTGTGTGTGTGTGTGTGTATGTGTGTGTTGTAGTATGTGGAAGGGGGTTACCCATGTATTTGCATCCAGAGGCCAGAAGATGACATCTGGTGTCTTTCTTTGTCACACCTCATTTTATTCCCTTGAGACAGCATATCTCACTGAACCAGAACCCTACCATTTCATATAGGCTGGCTGGTCAGTGAGACCTCAGGATCTGTCTGTCTCCACCCCTCACCCCGTGGAGTTACAGGCACATATAACCATGACCAGCTTTTTACATGGGTGCTGGGGATTTGAACTTGGGTACTTGTGATTGTACACTCTCTTACCCACTGAATCATCTCCCTAGCCCTGTAGCCAGTTATCTGAAGACAAGTTTTATCACTAGGCCTCTCTGTAGGCATGTGGTTTGCTGCATTCTAAAAAGTACAGCTTTGTGAATGCCAACACTAACCAGAATAATATCACAGACCCAAAGCTGTTTTCTTCAGTTATTATCTACAGTTTTACCAGCCTCAAAGGATTGGGATAGGGATTCATGTCTCCCTCTTCTTTCTCAACAATGAAAACCATTTCAATAGGAAATTCTACATAGCCAAACTGTGTTCATTCTCTTCCCAAATCGTCTTTCCCATGCCCTTAATGAACTTCATTAATGAGACAGTTGAATTAAAACATCACTAAGTGGAGACAAACAACAGCTTAAATTAACATCACACTTTTCCATTTCCAAAACACATGTCCTGCCATGAGCAGAGACCATGGTTTGCCAGCCAAGATGTAGTAAATAAGCATTTCACCACATGAGCTTGAAGAGCAAGCCTGTTGGTCTGGGGCAGCATTCCTGGGGCCAATGCCAGTGCTTGCCGGGGCCTGTGGCAGCCTGGCCAAATCCACCACACTCGCTCATTTTCCTCCCTGCAGTTCCACAGCAGAGAAGGGCATTCCATGCTGTTATTAGCCCTTCCACAGAGCACTGCTGAAGGTATTTTCTCATGTCTGTGGAGCACAATAGCCCGTTCTCCAAAACTTTCCAATGAGATCCATGGACAAGGCCAAAAGATTCAGCTTCTTGCTAAGCTATTAGAAAGTAGAGGGAGCTCAAAATCGCATTCAGCCCTAACAGCCGCTTAGAGGGAGAACTTAGCGCAAGATGCAATGGACCCTTTGTAAGTCCAAGCCATTTCAGCTGTGAGCACTTGAGGGCCTTTCACGGATAAAGTCCCAACCTCAATTCCTTGGTGTCCCTAGCTTCTTATAGGATGGATGAAATCAAAAGAGCTGTGGGATGGAGGCAGAGAGTCTGCTGTTCGGCCTCACCTGTGAGTGTGTTCTCATGTCCGAGGCTCAGCTGTAATAGGGTGCCAGTCCACTACCTGCACCACTTCCAGGCCCTCATAGCCATGGAAATTGTGTGTGTGGAAAGGGCTTCGACATGCCATAAGTGTGCAGCTAAGCAGTAATGTTGCAGAGGGCTGTTTGGGTCCTGCTTCATGGACCAATTTCCAAGAGGGTTATAGGGTTGATGAAGCTGTAGGGAAAGGCACCTAGGGCTAACTCTTGAGGTTTTCATCATGACCAGTGGACAGTTTTTCCAGTTCCAAGATAGTTGAGGGAATGAGTTGTAATGACAGCATCTAGTTAACTGACTCATACTTTTCCAAATGTGGGGACGCAGGAATAGCAGAGTGCTGAAGGCCTATGTCACAGTGGATTGCAGTCTGGGGCTTTTTCTAAATCACTTTGAGGACACAGTCATTAATATCGCTGAGAAAATATCTTTTGCAGCCATCACACTGTACATTACTAACACACATATCCATTAAGAAACGGCAGGAGTGTGGGGTTTTTGTTTGGGGGGTTTGGCCCCTGTGTGTTTGCATGTATGTGGACACATGTGTGGAGGCCAGAGATGGGCACTGGGTGTCTTTCTCAGTCACTCTCCACTTTGTCTACTGAGGCAGCATCTGTCACCAAACCAGAGCTCACTAATGCTGGCTAGTTTATTTTTAGCTAGACAGCTTGCCCTAGGGGATGCCCTGTCTCAGCCTCCTGAGTATTGGGGATTAGGGGTAGCCGCCACACCTGCCCAGCTTTTAAGTGGGTGCTGGGGTTCGAAAATCAGTCCTTAGCTTGTGCAGCATGTTTTATGCACCCAACCATCTCCCCAGCCCCAGGGGTGTGCACTTGAGTTGGCATCAGATGGCACTGCAGTCTTCAGCAGGGAGAAGCTAAATTGTGGGTCTGATTCCACAGAGCACATGCTATGATTCTGCTTCCAGAAAAGCTCAGTTGGGCATCTCTGTTTTTTTCCAGCCCCTTATGTGACATACCTCAGTAAAGATCCATCAGCCCCTTGTTCTCTGACTGATGCCTTGGATCATTTCCAAGTGGAGAGCTTGGATGAAATCATTCCAAAGGACCTGACGAAGAGTGAGCTTCCTCCTCAGCATACTCCCCGCAACATCACTGTGGTGGCCGTTGAAGGCTGCCACTCGTTTGTCATTGTGGACTGGGACAAAGCCATCCCTGGAGATGTGGTAACAGGTGTGTCTTAGGTGGATGCTCAGAGTGCCATTGGTCTGTGATGGGCAGATGAATGGGTGGCTTGGGAAGAGAACGCTGATGTCTTTCTTTAGTGGCAGGGGACACAGGCAACAGTGGGAACCCCATGGGATATTAAAGAGTACTGGATGGAAGCCAGAAGCCTTGGATCCTAGTCTCAGAATGGTTTGTATGACCTTAAGCTAGCTATATCTCCCTGGGTCTTAGTTTCCTCATATGCAAAATACTATTGTATCGCTAACCTTTAATCTGGAAAGTAGCTAGGGAGCCATTTCTAAGATGAAGCTCTGTAACAAAGGATGGTGAAGAAGCTTATAACAAATCATGACTGTCTCTCCCTTTCTTCCATGCCTGCTGGATGGTCCCACACCAGCTGGGTGCTTCCCAGTTCCTACATAGAAACTGGACATAATGGAACAATCCCTAAGGATCTTATGCCATCCCTCTGGGTCTTGGCATATGAAATGTTTGTGAGTTTCTGTGACTCTGCCAAGCATATATTTGAGGATGAGTCTGTTGAAATAAGTGTTTACAGAAAAAATTCATGCATTCTGTGAATCGACCCTTCCTTTAGAGACATCCCTGGTGGGCCTGTGAGCTGTGTGAGAAGGAGTATACATGTGGGCTATGTCTGTGTCTCTGAGAGGAGAGGGTAGTGTCGGGTTGGAGCTGAGCATACCCATCACTAGTGTCCTTTGTGTAACCCTACATTTCTTGTACTTCTGCTGTAGGGAAACAGGAAGCATGCCCCTACCATACATCCTGCCAGATGTGGCTGAAGTGTTGAGGGGGCACAGGGCAAGTGTGGGATTAAGGGGTCTGAGTCTTTAGCATAACTGAAATAGCTGTTTGCTCCACGGTGCATGTTGAGACCAGTTTCTGTGAAGTACAGCATGGTCCTAACAGAAAGCATGTAAATCAATAGAGGCAGATATATATCATTGAAACAGCCACAAATCTGTTAATTGATTGAATGTGGTTTATGAACGGCATCTTGTGTGTGTGTGTGTGTGTGTGTGTGTGTGTGTGTGTGTGTGGTATATATGCAGGTGTGTGCCAGTGGACATTCATGCATGCACAAAGGCCAGAGGATATTGGGTGTCTTGTTCTAGCACTCCGCCTTATTCCCTTGAGACAGGATCTTTTTCCCTCACTGAACATGGAACTACGCTGTTGGATTGCAAGCCCCAGCTATCCTCCTAACACCAGCACTCAGGATACAGGCACACATGGGACCACATTCAGCTTTTTACACAGGATTTGAACTCAGGTCTTCACGCTTGTGCAGCAAGTGCTCTTAGAGCTGTGTCAAGGGCATGTGCAGATCAACAACTGAAAATTAAAGGCAGATGAGTGAGGGCCACTGTGAGCCTGAGGTCTTTGGGCCACTTTCACATGCCCAGGATTCACTACCAATATTCCTCATTTCATGTGAAGGACAACTGTATCACATTATTAGGAAACCTGCTTGGTGTTTTTGTATCCATCTTTTGAGTTTTTATTAGTATATATTCATAATACAAAGTATACAAAGTGGTGAGTTTCACAGTGGCATTTTAATCCAAGTATGTCATACTTTGGCTGTATTTACTCCCTCTCCCATTTCCTCTCCCATTAAACCTCTTCCTTTTCCCAAATGGTTCCCCTTCTAAGTTCATGTCACTCATACGACGGATACATACATTCCCCACATGATAGGGAAACACATTTGTCTCTCTGAGTCTACCCTAGTAAGTCCTGACAGCAGGACTCCACTCTTTTTCTGCTTCTTTCTTCTCTGTTCGGGAAGATCAGTTCTGCCTAGCGAACGAGGGTGGTTCAGAGAAGGGAGAGAAAGGAAAAAGCAAATCATAAGGAAGTGCCTTAAGTTTGCTGTCCACATCTGGATTCACCAGGATGTACCAAAGTCACGCCATCCTGTCCCACAGTGCAACTCGCTTCCCCTGAGGCTCTCCCACAGAGGTGTCTTGTCACAGCTCTGTGTGATTTAGTCCTCTCCTAGTTAACTTCGGCAATCAACTTGGCACAGTCCAGAGTGATCTGAGGGCGGCTCAAGTGGAGGATGACCTCAGTCAGACTGGTCTGTGGGACATTTTCTTGATTGCTAATTGATGGAGATGGGGCCCACCCACTGTGGGCGGTGCCATCCCTAGGCAAGTGGACGTAGGCTGTATAAGAAAGGTAGCTGAACAAAAACCAGAGAGCAAGCCAGGAAGCAGCGTTCCCCCAAGGCTTCTGCTTCAAGTTCCTGCTTTGAGTTCCTGGCTTGGTTGCCCTTGATGATGGACTGTTACCTATCAGCCAGTGAACCCTTTCCTCTCCTGAGTTGCTTTTGACCATGGTGTTTGTCACAGCGACAGAGAGGAAGCTAGAACAGGCACCTCGGTGCTCACTGTTCTTCCCTCTTCCACTTCCAGGGTACTTGGTCTACAGTGCTTCCTACGAGGACTTCATCAGGAATAAGTGGTCTACTCAAGCTTCATCAGTGACCCATTTGCCCATTGAGAACCTGAAGCCAAACACAAGGTATGATGTGGCAGCTGTGTATAAATGGAACGTGAAACCTGTGAGCTTGGTTACAGATATCATTTGGTTGGAAACAAAGGATTAAACAGGTCTTTTTTATGATTTCCTTGAATTTTCAATATATTTCTCATGGGATATTAATGAAGGCTTACCATGTACCATGTCTTTTCCTCAAGAATAATTACTACATGTACTATACTTGTTACTTAACAATTGTCTTTATATCTGTTCCCCATTTCCTACCACTAAAGAAAGAGAGGTCTATGTGTTGAAAGGAAATCAGTTCAATTTTAACCTATGTGGTTACATCAAACAGTACAGTCTTGATATTAGTGGCTTAGCAATCACCTGATATTTAAGCTCTGTGATGTAGCAATTCCGACCATTCTAGAAAGATGCAACTCATACATTAGAAAAGGTTACAAATGTGTCTTGTCTTAGTCAGCTGAGCGGTGGCTGGCTGACAGTACCGTTCTGTAAGTCAAAGTTCATGGTGGTCAGTGACGAGTGTCCAGTTGTGTTCATTCCTCGGTTGTACTGTCTGGTAATGGAGGTAGCAACCATCAGAAAGCTTCCCTGTTGAGTGAACATGGGTGAGGTTTTGAACATGGCCCAGACCAGGCAGTGGGTGTTGGTAAACTAACTGTTTGGGAAAAAGAAATCCCTGTTTATATTGCTTCCAATGCCTTTGGTATAGGTACTCACACTGGCCAATTTCACACTATCAGTGGGCCTGCAGAACTCCTGAATAGCTTATGACTGGCTCCCACAGTCCTGTCCAGACAGCTGTAGCACCGCACTGTTGCATAGAGCCACCAGGCTCACTTGGGAAAGAGCTCCAAGGGGCTCCCACACAAGCAGAGGAACACGCAGAAGGCTGGAAGAAATGACTGAGTAAACAGACGTGTGCTAGAGAGGATAGAATCCGGCCAGAGCCTGCCTACCAGGAGACTTCCCCGAAGCTGGGAGCTCTCTCCCTGACATTTTAATGTGTCATTTGGAACATTACTGGAACCAAGCTTTCGTAAACTGTTATGAATTTCAGGATTTGGTAAATGAAAGCAAACAGTAAAACAGGAAACTAAGAAAGCACTTTATTCCCTTTGATAGTAACAACAATGTGATCAGAAGGAACATAATCCACAAAATTAGACCAAAAGGGCTCAACATCCTTTTTTATTGTGTGCAGCGACTACTTTCATAGCCCAGCCACCATTTCAAAAAGCTGACGACGCCATCCAGATGTTTTGCTACATAGCTACTTGCAGTGAAAGTTGAACCCCAGTCTCCTGACCCTGCCTCCTCACCCTAGTCCATTGTTCCTTCTACAACCTTTGCTGCCATGTTGGACTTCTGCCATTTTGAATGTAAGGTGATGGCTGTCTGGTGGCTGTCCTTACCACAGATACTGGATCCATGCTTTATTCAAGCTGTTCTTCCCAGGGGCTGATTTTGAGCCAGGCACCATGAGAAGGGCACAGGGGTTTGGGGCTTGCAGACGAAATACTTATGGTTCCCATAGAGTGTACAGTGCTGGCCTCATGGACTTATATCCTGGTTGGGGAGACAGATTTTAGAAAGGAAAACCAGTACAGATACAGGTCTCCTCGGTCAGCATCAGGAGGAAGCGTAGGTGATGCTTGGATAGTGCACAAGAGGGGGAATTCTTAGGAGCCTGGGGTTAGTCGGGGAAGACTCCCTGGGAAAGTTGGGTCTAAAGCATAAGAGTGGTTAAGATGGAGGAAAGGCAGGTGAGGTGAGGTGAGGTGAAATTGCTTTAGGAAGAAGATGCCCCAAAGCTTGGACTGTTCTACGAAGAGAAGTCTCAAAAGAGAGGGGAGCGAGCATGTGAGGAGTCCGGACACTACAGGCTCCATCTTCTCCACTCTCAGCCCCTGCGTCCAGGGCTCTTCCACCTCCTCCCAGGAAGCACAGGGTGTTGGCTCTTGGGATGGAGAAAACAGGTAGGATGCAACACACAAGATTCTCCTGATCGAATTTCCTCAGAAGTCCTGTGAAGAGAAGCTGCATCTTACTGCCAGAGCACCGCGGATGCAGTGTGCAGAAACTCATTTTCTCTGTACCATCTGACCACAGAATGGCTCCCTAAGTTGCTTTGGTAGCCCAGGGGAACATCTTGCTGAGGCAGCCTCTTTGGGGGCCCATTCTTGTGCTCAGAGCCTCTGAGAATCAGCCTCAGGGTCCCCAGGAGAGACAAGGAGTCATTCTACTAAAAGGAGGAGCCAGAGTCTAACCATCAGCCTTGGTGATTTAGGTCAGATCTTGGTTTCTACTCAAATGAGTGCAATTAACCTTATTTGCTAAACATAACTCCCATCAATCACTCTTTGGGGCTTTGCGTATTTTAAAATCCATTCTACAGTAAAAAGATTTGCCACCACTGAGGCTTTTCAAAAGGGCTGTCAAATTTATGCGAGAAGGCAAGGTTTGGGTAGACGTTATTGCTCGGGTGTGACAGACTGTTATTGAGAGGATGAAATCCATATTTAGGTTAGTAGAAAGTTTAGTAAGGTTTTTAAAAATGTAAAGTTTACCTTTTTAAAAAAATTCATGTTGTTTTCAGCTTAACAAATTGAAATTAACTTTGATGCACTAGATGAAAAGAGATCTCAGGATTTGGCACTTGAGTGTTGGAAGGGACGATAGACTTGGAAAATGCTTGGGTGTCAGCAGTGAAATAACATTGATACAAACAACTCCCCTTGCACAGTCTCATCCCTCCACTGGCACAGTAGTGCTTCCTCCATGGTGCTGGGGGCAGGGTATTAGGATGGTGCTGGCAGGGACATAAGGAAGCATTTAGCACAAATGTCCCATGTAGCTCCTGAGCATAAATGTCATTCCTAATGTTTAAATTGCCTCTCTTTAAGGAAAAAAAATATCTGCAAAATTTAACCAGGATCACTGGTATGTGCCAAACCCACTGTTTGAATGCCTGCAGGTTTTGGCCTTAAATTACTCCACAACCACTGAATGAAAGTGTGCATAATCAAGAAACACACACTGCTGGGTGAACTGAGACTGGGAAACATGCTCGTGATTGTGCATGTGTTTCTTAAAGAGTTGAAATGAAAAATGAACTGCCCTAAGTGAAATGTGAATGACTTGAGAAGACAGATTTCCCAAGTGGCTTTTCTTCACTGGTTAGTCAAACCACAGGAGACCCCTTCTGCATGCTGTGAGACCAGGGACAGCCTGCCTTGGTGATGTTACTAACCCTCTGAAGGCTCCTGGCCAGGCTGGTCAGTGCCAATAGGCAAAACCCTTCATCCTCTGAATGTAGATAATTCCCTCTTTTAAAATTTTAGTGCATTTTAATTGGTACATGCATCTATGTACCTGATTTAATAAGAGAGAATTCTGGAATACTTAAGCGCAACATTCTCACAGTCAAAAGCCAGAGGAGACTCTGAAGTTCAGAGAGCCGTATTCCCCAAGCCTTTACTCCCATTTATCTGGAAGTGACAGTATCCTTGAAGATCTGTGTGATCTGTGGGATCCCAGGGTGAGGAAGTCATAAAACTTATGAACACTGGGCCCCACCATGGTGCTGATCTTCAGCACTTCTTGGCCACCACTTTGGGAAGCAGCACACTTAGAGACTCAATCTTGATGAACTGGTTGAATCGAACCTATTTCTTTCTAGAACATTCTTTGTTGTAAGACAAAGTTGAGCCCTGCAGAAAGCCTTTCTAGGTTTTTTTCCTACTTCCTCTTCCTGGAGCTGCTTCTTTTTCCTCGAGGTATAGAAACTTAGCATCTAGTAAGGCTGTCCATTCCTAGCTCCAGGGACAACTGCAGTACTTGTGCCCAAGACATGGCTGTCTTAACTCTGCCAAAGAAACCAGCCTCTTGCTCAGTCCATCCTTTCCTGCCAGTCACAAGCTGCATCAAAGCTGCCATCCGCATTCTACTTCTCTTCATGATCCCCAGCAATGACGATTAGGTCAATGTTTGACTTCTACTCTGTGTGTTTTGTTGGTCCAGCTTCTCCTTCTAGGAACTCAGACAGGGATCTGAGTCTTGGGCAGGTCTTTTAAGGATGGACTGAGAGAACCACCCCGTGACTACTTGATGCTCCGGGAAAAGCACGCCAAGCAACTATTTGCTTCATGCTCCATTCCCATTTTCCATGTGTCTGTGCTGTGTTAACTGTATCATTTCAAGTGGTTATTAGAAATGAGAAAGTTCAGAAAAAATGTAAGGATGACCAGTGATGTGTGAATTTGTAAAAAAAAAAAAAAAGATAGAATCAATAAAATAAATAAGCAGGACTCCAAGTTTGCCACAGAAAGGTACTCAGAAATTGGCAATCTGAGGCTGGAGAGATGGCCCAGCAGTTAAGAGCACTGGGGTTCAATTCCCAGCACCCACATGTCGGCAGCTAACAACCATCTGTAACTCTAGCTCCAGGGGATTTGATACCTTCTTCTGACCTCCATGGGCATTGCGTGACACGGATGCAGGCAATACACTCACACACAAAAAATAAAAATAGTAAAATATTTAAAAAGAAATTGAGAGTCTATTTCTTTACACAGAAATCAGATAAATTTCTCTTTTAAAAGATGTTTTCTTCTAATTTCAGATATTACTTTAAAGTTCAAGCCAAGAATCCCCATGGTTATGGCCCCGTCAGTCCTTCCGTCTCATTTGTTACAGAATCAGGTGCGGTGGCTCCCCTTCTTTGTTTTACTTTCTGAAAAATGAAATAAATGGTCCGGGACAAGAGCTGCAACAGAGTGAAACTGAAGCAGGAAAATCCCTTCCTTTCTACTGCCTGAGCTCACACTACATTTCTCTCTATAAAGTAAACGTTTTTTTCCTGCTGGGTTAAGGGACCACTGAGGTCCAATTCGAATGAAAGGGGGGAAAAGATCTAGTTTTTAAACAGGTAGGAAAGTTTGACTGTATTGGTACAAAATGTACTTTTAGCTTTCTTTGTTGCTGGATTATGTTTTGTTGGTGATGATTGGTTGGTTGGTTTGGGTTTTATTGAAACAGAGTCTCACTCTGTAGTCCAGCCTGACCTGGAATTCACTGTCTAGCCCAGACTAGCCTTGAACATGTGGTACTTCCTGGCTCAGGCTACCAAGTACTGGGATTCTAGGCATCAGTGACCACTCCTGGCTTTAATTTTTTTTTAATTTAAAAACAATGTTTTTATTCCAAAAAGCTGGAAAGCATTCACCTCAGATGGCCTGAGAGGCAGCTGATTCTCCAGGTAGCCAGGCCCCCAAGATCTAAGATCTCCCCTTTACAAGGAGGCAGAGAAGTCTTATTCAATATGCTATTCATGTATGCCCTTGTGTTTTGGGATTCTGGTGGGCAAATATCTCAAACTCTGTAGTACTATGCCTCTGCAGCCCATGGTCTGAGGCAGTCCTCACAGAGTTGACCCCACTGAGATACTTCTTAGGTCAGTAACTTTTCCAGAGAGGAGCCCAAGCTAGAGTCTAGGCCATTCCTGCTGAGCCAGCTCTGAACAGGATCTTAACCATCAGGAGGCATCATTATTTCCTATATGTAGTCTGAACCTGGGAAATTTATCATTGGAGGATAGTTTTAAGTTTAATAATTTAAAATCTATGGAATCAAAATATGTGGGAAAATATCCCTTGAGAATTTCTCTTTCTACTAGAAATGTAGGCAAAGGACCTCAGAAGTGTTTCCACTTGTTAGATATATGTTTCTTGTTGGTAATTAAGAGGGAAGAAAAACATATCAACAGTTAATCTGCTAAAATAAGATTGTGTGTGAGTTTATGGCTGCACTTTTCTAAAAGCAAACTGGACCTTTAACAATTGTCATGATCAGCACAATCAGTGTGAGTTTAAAAAGCAAATAGCTTGGGTTAGAGAGATGTCTCATCACTTAAGAGCACTGGCTGCTCTTGTAGAGGACCCAGGTTTGATTCCCAGCACCTACATGGCAGCTAACAATCATCCATTACTCTAGTTCCAGGGAATCCGGCACCCTTTTTCTGACCTCTGTGGGCATTGCATGACATGGGTGCACTTACACACACGCAGGCAATACATTCATACATGAAAAAAATTTAAATTAATAATAATAAAAAATAGCTCAAACTCAAAATCTATCAAGAACCCTTCGATTGGCTGCAGGTGTAGCTCAGCAGTAGAGCACTGGCCTAGCATGTAGGAGGCCATGGAGAGCACTGACTTAGCATGTAGGCGACCATGGAGAGCACTGACTTAGTATGTAGGAGGCCATGGAGAGCACCGATCTAGCATGTGGGAGGCCATGGAGAGCACTGACTTAGCATGTAGGCGACCATGGAGAGCATTGACTTAGTATTTGGGAGGCCATGGAGAGCACTGACTTAGTATGTAGGAGGCCATGGAGAACACTGACCTAGCATGTGGGAGGCCATGGAGAGCACTGACCTAGCATGTGGGAGGCCATAGAGAGCACTGACCTAGCATGTGGGAGGCCATGGAGAGCACTGACCTAGCATGTGGGAAGCCATGGAGAGCACTGGTCTAGCATGTAGGAAACCATGGAGAGCACTGGTCTAGCATGTGGAGGCCATGGAGAGCACTGGTCTAGCATGTAGGAGGCCATGGAGAGCACTGGTCTAGCATGTGGAGGCCATGGAGAGCACTGACCTAGCATGTAGGGGGTCATGGAGAGCACTGACATAGCTTGAAGAAGGTCATGGGTTTGACACCCCTGGTATCACAACAAACAAACCAAAACCTGAAAAGAAGAAACTCAGGTCTGAAATTTGAGAGGAGAAAGTGATGCTCATTGCGTGTAATTTGGGGGAATGAAAGACAAGCTTCTGAAACACCAGGTCTTCTGCCCTCTCCCCCGCATGAAGCTCCTGGCCTAGTCTTTGTGGTCTCTCTGGGTAGGCAATGACAAGGGGAGTCCCTATTTAGCCTCTGAGTAAGGATGTCTGTGGTGTGACCCACACAGTGCACTTTCAGTGTGGTCCCAGGAGACCCTCACACACAGACATATGACAGTGATCTACTCTGGTCATGTTCAGTCTCTTTTTTATTTTGTGCTTCCCTGATGAAGAAAGTTAGGTTAGGATAGGAAAATTACCAAATGAAGCGTGGTATTTCCCAATCAGTATAATCTAAAAGTAATGTGTGAAGTAAATGTGGGTGTGCCAGGTGTGCTGGGAGATAAGGATTTTTGTCCTTGCTGTGGATGTTGTTTTATTTTGGTTCCTCCCTGCCCTGCATTGGAGTATTTGAGACTTTTCCAGGCTACTGTTACAACTGAAGAAGTCCAAAGCAGATTCAGCCTTTTCTTCTAAGGCTGATGTCACTATTTTACATTTTCTGTTTATTTTGAGTCTCTCTCTCTCTCTCTCTCTCTCTCTCTCGGTGTGTGTATGCATGCATGCCACAGTGTGCATGTGGCGGTCAAAGGACAACTGTCAGGCTTGCGTACTCACTGAGCCATCTCACCAGCCCAGAGTATTGAATTATTTTTGTAGCACCCAGTTTTAAAACATTATTATTAAAAAAAAAAACCTCATGGCTTCAATAACAAGGCAGTTGACCAGATAGTACTTCTCCAAAACAAGTTCTTAGAAAATGAAACCTAGGGAAAAACTTTGTTTTCTGATAAACAAACCTTTTTTTTCTCTCTATTCCAATTTGGTTAGCTTTCAATGCAGTAAGTATTCCAATATTTGTGCAGCTACAAAGCGTGTTAAGCTAAAGTCAATTCATTCTTTTTCATCCACAGACAATCCTCTGCTTGTGGTAAGGCCACCAGGTGAGTTTCTCATCTTGAGGTTTTGATGTTCTGGAATGGTGAATATGTGATGTGGGATCACTGTGGTTACTCACAAGAAGAAATGGTGGAACATTTTACATCTTAATGATTTTCTAATAACTTTGCTCCATCCTCCATCTACTCTTCAACCTCATCTGTGGAAGACAACATCCTGGAAATGTTTCAGTAGGAACATAGCTGTTGATATCTAAAAAAAAAAAAAAAAAAAAAAAAAAACATGGTGAAGTAGCTAACACCTATAAAAGAGGCACTTCCTTTACATGACTCCTGTGAATATTTTAAATTGCTTTAAAAAAAAAAAAACATCAAAATGCATCTAGGAAGTTTTTCCTTTTTTTTTAAGGAAATGAGCAAGCTCTGTTTTTAAGTCAAAGACAGGCAGGAAAAGTGTCTGAAACAGGGATCTATGCTGAGGGACCTGGGGGTGGGATGTCGCACCCCAAGGATCAAATATGCCATCGCCACTGGTTTTCCTTGAGCTTAAGCCTTTCACTAGCCTAGAGAGGCCTTTGTTGAACTGTCAATGCCATAAGCACTCTAGGGTGAAAAGCACCGCACTCTTCAAGCATGTTAGTTAGCTTTCTGTTGCTGTGACAAAACACCTAAGAAAACGGGAGGAAGAGTTTGTTTTGGCTCATGGTTTCAGACGTTTCAAAGCATGGTCACTTGGCTCCCTTACTCCTGCACCTGAGGTGAGGTATTATAGTATGACTGAAGGGCATGGTGACCAAAGCTGCTCATTTTATGAAATGCAGGCTCGGGGGCGGGGGGAGTCCTTCAAAGCCATATGCCACTTACCTGTTTCCTTCAACCAGACCCTACCCCCTAACATTCCATTCAGGTATGAGTCCATCTGTAGGTTAACCCATGATGAAATTGGAACCTTCACAATCATCTCTCCATGACCAGCTCTTGAACCCATGAGCCTTTGGGTGACATTTTTAGGTCCAATACCCCCCACCTGGGTTTTAATAGTGAAAAAGAATGCGGGCACTAACAAGGTGGACATTTGCTCAGAGAAGCCCTGAGAGACGGGCAGGCCCATGAAAAAGTTTAGTTTTCTGATAGTTCGTGTGGAAGAGTAACCCTCACAACAACCACAACTTAGACCATGTGTTTGTTTGTATTGCTGAGGTGGTGAACCCATCTGGATCCCATTTGCTTTCAAGCATGACCCTGGCTACACAGACTGTCATGGCCGGCAATATGTGAAGCGGACATGGTACAGGAAATTTGTGGGAGTTGTCCTTTGTAATTCACTAAGGTATAAAATCTACCTCAGTGACAATCTGAAAGGTAGGTCTTTCACATGGGTGGTTATGGAGAATTTTAATTTTTATCTGGTACTGACATGGAAAAGCAGGTGCTTCAAGATATATAAGAAGCCTGGGGCCTGGAGAGATGGCTCAACAGTTAAGAACACTGACTGCTCTTGCAGAGAACCCAGGTTCGATTCCCAGCACCCACATGGTGGCTACGAACCATTCTTAATTCCAGTTCCAGGGGAATCCAATGCCCTCTTCTGACCTCCTCGGCATTGCACAACACAGGTGCACTCCCATGCAGGCAATACACTCAAACACATAAAATAAAAATAATAAATAAAATAAAGAAGACTGGAGCTGCAAGGGCTGTAATGCAAATAAGGTTTTCAGACTGTACTCTGGAGTTACTAGTTTTAACCATATATATATATATGTCTATATGTGCATATATATATATATATAGAGAGAGAGAGAGAGAGAACGAGAACTACATTTTTGGGATGAAGTCCAAAATTCTGTTAGAAATTTAAAGGCCTATTTTTTATATTAATTTACTAGTAAGAGCTGAGTGTTCACTGGAAGATCTGAAAGAAAGTTCCCTAGTCCAGCACCTGCTACCACCACAGCTTTACAAAGGAAAATGTAGAGGGCAAAACATCCTCAGTAGCACTGTTCATTCTGAGTCAGAATAAAAATCACATTGTTTTTATCATAGCAGGGAATAAAACAACACGAAGATCTTAAATCACTGGCACTTTAAAGTGTCATACCTACCCAGCGGTCTCTTATTTATGTATGTGTGTGTGTGACCGAGTGTAAGTTCACCATATTCATGCAGGTGTCTATGAAGGCTAGAAGAAGTTGGATTCCCTGGAACTAGAATTAAAGGCAGTTGCAAGCTCTCCAATGTGGGTGCTGGGACTGAACCCAGGTCCTCTGTAAAAGCAACAAGTGCTGTTAACTGATGAGCCGCCTCTCCCCCCACCTCCCCAAGCTGGCTTTGACTCTGCTACCTACATCAACTTAATTTTGTTTTTGAAATTCACACAATTTAAATATCTTATAAAAATTTTAGACTTGCCTTCAACTCACCTGTATTTTATCTCTCGTGAGTTTATAATTTTCCCTTAATATCAAGGACCATTATGTCTAAACCAAGTCTTCCCTCCCCCAACTCTGCCACCCCAACTCTGGCAATTTCTGTTTATATCTGCATCTTCCCTACACTACTGGCTAATTCATATTCTCTCTTCCTTCCTTCTTTCCTTCATTCCTCCATCCCTCCTTCCCTCCCTCTTTATCTTTCTCTCCTCCCTTCTTCCCTCCTTCCCTCCCTCCCTTCCTTTCTTCCTCTTTCCTTCCTTCCTTCCTTCCTTCCTTCCTTCCTTCCTTCCTTCCTTTCTCTCTCTCTCTCTTTCTCTCTCTCTCTCTCTCTTTGTCCTCTTTCTTCTAAATCTCTAGGAGAGATAGCCCTGCCATCTCCAGGATCCCAAGGTAGTTTACACAGCCTTGACAAACTTCTCTGCTGTGTTTCAGCACCGTGGACAGCGTCTCCTGTCTTAGACTTGGTGTCTCCCTTTAGCTTTGTGTAGAAACAGGTTCTTCTAATTATAGAGACCTGCCTGACTTCATAACCTCTTCCCTATAATATTTTTCTTCATTCTTCTTTTCAAACTAAGGAATGAAAACATTCCATCATTTTCAGGGCAGAACTGCCTGTATTGCTCATGGTTTCTCCTTCTGAATATATCTTAAATATTTAGTATACACAATCTGGCTGAGTCCTTACAATGCTTAATGAGATTGGTGCCATTGTAAACATTTTTCTGACATGGAAACTATAGAATAAACAATTTAAGTAATCTGCCCAATTCAAACCATATTTAAAGCTTGTTCTAACTTCTAAGCCAGCTGTGACTGGTATTGATTAGTCACTGACCCATAATATTGCCTTGTGCAGACACATTCTACAGCATTGGAGACAGCTGGGGAAGAGGTGAAGACCATTGTCAGTTTGTGGATTCACATCTTGATGGAAGAACAGGGCCCCAGTCCTATATAGAAGCCCTTCCCACAATTCAAGGTAATATAAACAAATCCTTGCTGTATTGTGCTGGGGGTGGATGTTGGAGAGTTAATATAAAGAGAAAATTTATGGTAGCTCTGCCTTTAATTTGCCATTTAACAATGGCTGTTGGGAGCACTTTGGATTATAAAAGGTAAAGATAAGGACTCAAGGAGTCAAAATACTCTACCATGTGCTGGCCTTGGGGGGAGCCCTGAGAGGTTGGGGATAAAAGGGAAGTATGTATGACCCCATCTCCGATCTCAGGAACAAGCTCTGTAACCAGGACAAGAAAACAAATATGTGAAGGGCAGATGTCAGTAAGTACTGATACGCAGATAATAATGACAACCATGTGGTTGTTTCATTTCCAGCATCTGAATTCCAGGGAGGCAGCCACTCAAGGCTGGTAAGGAAGGTTGTCAGGAAAGGCAGTGTGAGTTGAGTCTTAAAGTCTGGCTGGGCATGCAACAGTGTGCAGTGGAGTCCTTCCAGGGGAGACCGGCTTGGATGAAAGTTAAACATGAAAACACACCAAAAGAGGCTTCATAGTCAAGGTCTCTGATGAAGGCATTATGAGGCAAAGACTGGTGTGATCATTCCAAAGGCCGGCAGCTGTG